GCTTGCACTTGATCGCGCGCCCGCCGTGTCAAATTCACACACTCCATCCGTCAGTTTGAACACGCATAAGGAACCCAGCACTTCTGTAGATTCAGCATTCACCTCTTTCTTTGTTGAGGAGACGTTTTCAATTTTAATCCTGTCAGATCGATAAAAGAGTTCACAATGTCTGTTGCCAGCGTATTGGCTGTATTCGGTGGCGCCTATAATCAAATGTTTGCCCTCGCCTCCGTGCTCGTCGTGGTATCTCTGTCGGCGGATCTTGCGTCAGCTTCGCGTAAGTACATAATGCAGTGTAATGTGTCTAAAGATCGATCATGATTGACTTCAACAATGCCAGTGACCGACCTTGTGATGGGTGCAGACTTCCCAGCTTGTATTGATAGTTAGCCCAAGGGCTGTGCTTATAAAACGCCTCAAACACAAAAGGGGGGAAAGTTGGAGCAGTGTGTTTTGTTCTACGAAATTGATTCCCTGCAAAGTGTGCTGATAAGACAAAATTTAATTTTGATGATGCACTTTAGCACATGAAATGTAATAGCCGAATTTAACTCCTGAGATCGGCCTTCCAAGATGGCCGGCAACTTGGTGTTGGAAACCGTGCGTTCATGATACGCAAACAGAGCACCAATTGTGTCCAGTGCAAATCGAAATTCGCACAAGACCCATCACATATTTCACCATCGGGCAATCAGCAAATGCAAGAGTTCGAGCTTTTCACGTTTGAGCATATCAAGCAACATTCAGAAGAAACACTCCATCTAGGGTATCTGCGAGTACTAACTTCACCTCTCTTGGCAAACGCCATGGACCATTGGATCGTGAGCTAGGTTTTACATAATTATACTCATTCCAGGCACAACAACGAACCTCAGACGAACCTCAGGCAAACCAATCGGATGACTGATTAGTTCTACCAAGAGTACATAACCATGGTCATGTACTCTTGGTTCTACAAGTCATCTAAGCCAGGATATGTGTGCAGCGTCCTTGGAGGCCAGTACGTGTAGCGGGGGGAAGAGTAGAGGATCGCTGAAGGAGCAGGGCAGTTGTTGAATGATGTAATGCAAAGGAGAGTTTAACGTTTGGGAACAGCACGCACGCCCTGGACGATCTACAGGCAGCAACCTCTGGTCGGTCGAGTTGCTCCCTGTACATCGGCACGTCGTCCCTACATCCTCTGTGTCTTGTTTTGTGTTTGTCTCCACATGTCACATAGTAGGGCTGTGTCCCCAGTACAAACAATACATACTCAGTACCTGCTCGCTTTCGCCACTAATGTCAGTCGTGCATGATTGTCACCGTTGAGATAATATCCCATAATATTATGGATTACTCCAGGAGATGTACATTGTACACTATTGCTGCTAGGATTGGGTTGATAATCAAGGGTTCGGTAAGAAATTATCTTGTTATCAATCTTGGGGTTGGAGTTCTATCGCGTTGTTTCTACGTCCCCCTCTTGTTCTGGGTGCCTCGTTGTGATTGCGAATCGAAAATGCCATGAAAACCGTCAGGCATTGTGTTCACGACGTTGAACAGGTTTTCACGTTCTTACACAACCTACTCAAGTCTCTCAGGAGAACGAGGTCAGCAGCAGCCACACGCTGCACAAAGTGCCTCCGAACGAGGTGGCGAGGTGAGAAGCGAAGACGCAACGGAAGACCACGCTGGCCGGTTGCCTTATCATGTAGCTTGCTTTGTTCAGTAGCTTCGGCCTGTGTCCTCGGCACGTCGGCCTAAACAGTGCTGGCATCCTGTAGCCAATCCTCTACATCCTGATGATGTTTGTATGCTCATGCGACAGTGGTGCTTCAAAGTACATGCATGGGAGTTGTAGCCATCCGCAAATTGGCATGCTACATCATAATACTATTACAATATACTGAAGTAATTGTCAGATTGCCCAGAGAGCTCATCATAATAACAATGTCAGCTCAGTGTGCTTCAGGATCGTAGACGCAGGTTTCAGCGCTGCAATATCGGGCAGTGTTAGGTTGCGTGAGGGCAGAGACTCGACACGTATCATCACGTGGAGTAGTAGAACTCAGCATTTATCCACGGGGAGTGGTCGCAAGTTTTCAGAGAGCTGAACTCGCCCATATCCGATCATTATCATGTCACTATGAATAATACATCGTATGTGTGGTGGGCTATATCCTCCACTTAAATACTGTGCATATCTGTGTAGTCAACGGACTACACGATTACTGGCATGTACATGATTATATATGACATTATTGTACATCAAATAGATACACCTGATCCGTGCACGCAGGAGAATAGATGGCATTTGTAGGCAAGAAACTCGACGTGTGAAAGCCAAAAGGATAGATACCGTTTCGGCCACGTTATTGGACCAGTAGACGTCTGGGTTGCTCTGCTCGTGAGCTTGGGGGTTATTGTAACTCCTTGACCCCAGACAACCATCGACGGGCACCTCTAGGAAGTGTTTGTGCTCCTAGCACGTACACAAACGTGGTTGATTGGTACATTTATCATTGTCTGCCGTGCGACTGTGCGCATTTGTGAGTGCGTGTTCGAGTGCATTCGTGTTCACACCAATGTCTGTGGTTCGACGTTCCTTCCGCGTCAGGTACGAGGTACACACGTCGAGCGGCTCGCGTGAACCTCGACTTGCAATCGCACCTGTCGCCTTAATCCACTCGCCAACTATTACTTCTTCCTCTGCCCCCCCTGAGGATACATCGAGCATTGCTGGTGTCAAAAAGAGCAGCAAAACCTAGTTACAGAGCTTAGCCTATCACAGTAGAAGTACATTCTTCGCCGATCGTGTCAGCGATAGGCAATACTGTTTCTTGGTTGAGGTCTCTCTGGGGCTTCAAGTGTACTGTAGTTCTCAAGATGGCAGGAGCTGCAATGGTGAAAGTCGAGAACGCCGCGCAACCATGACTTCCTGACAAAGCTATAACTAACTGCGCGGCAAGATTATGTGTTCTGCGTGTCATTGTGATGGGATGCCAGTTGACGCCGCTGTTGGAGAAAGTAAGTTCGTGCGGATCATTACGAGCTGATAATGTTCCTTGACAGCAGTGACTGGCGTCGAGACTAAAACGGGATATCAGCATGGTGACTTTGCATCAAGCGCGCTGTCACCGCGGAAGACTTTAGAGTTTTGGGTTTGAGGTGCGGGTCGGCTGCCAATTAAGTGGCTGTGCGACTATGCAATGTCAGAGTGCTGTTGGAATCTCATCGCCTCAGGTATATGGAACGTCACGTACAAGGACAGGTTCTGTAGTAGTAGTGGTACAGTCTTCTAAGACAGACTAGTCTGTAGGCTGTAAACAAAGTCAGTCTCGTGGGGTGCCAAATGCAACTCGCATTTGAGTGAAGCTTACAATCACTGGTACAATTGCCAGGTTTACTCCTGTCGTGTTGCATAACTGGGCTGCCGACGAAGTCACTGGTACCTTGCGCCATAACGTCAATCCCCGCGCTGCACATGAAGGAGCCTTGAACATTAGCTATGGAGATCGAGAAAATAATTATGACGACCTACCAGACTAAAACTATTTTTAAAATAACTGTTGTCCAATGCACGCAGTCGACTTGCTCAACTAATTACTTGCATGATCATCACCATAGAGAGGGTATTGTACTAATCCCTGACTATTGCATCACTAGCCTAGGATATCCACTAACTGTTAGCCTAGGATATCCACTAGCCTAGGATATCCACCAGCCTAGGATATCCACTAGCCTAGGATATCCACTAGCCTAGGATATCCACCAGCCTAGGATATCCACTAGCCTAGGATATCCACCAGCCTAGGATATCCACTGGCACCATACTGGACAATCTACGTCTAGATGTCTGAATCCATCCACATCACATACAATACTAAGTAGCACCAAAGTTTTGACACTTTCCGCATACAATCATGTTTAATAGAACGTTGACATTCGAGACAGAGCTGAACGCAAACTTCATGAGCACCACATGCATTTCCACAGGTGGGGTGGAATTCGCAGCACATCATAGTAAGTTTGCCCCAGGCATAGCAGCGTATGGCAACCCTAGCGAAGCGAGTGGCGTGAACGTAGACCAGTCTGAACCATCATGGTGTGACCTGGCGACGTCTAATCACGTTTGGCGACAATGTCTACCTTGGATGTGTCACAGTCTCACACTGTGTGTTACTCTAGAGCACTGTACACACATTCTCAAGCAGTGACAGGTAACGGGTTGTTAGAAACTTAGTTGCATAGTATTTGTGCCGCTCCCAGCTCGAAAGGCGTTTGTAAGTGTGCAGGCACCCGCGAAATTCCAGATACTAAATCCATGTTTCTTCACCCGATATTATGTGTAACGTCTCGCTTCATCTCACGTAACGCGTCGTTGACGATCGAATGGGTACGTGTATGCGCAGGAAGTACGTACAATCATTACATTTCATATGAACAGCGATAATTATGATGATTGTGATGTGAGGCTGTCACCATGGTCACGCGCGGCTCGCTCAATCCCTTGTGCATGTGTCACAATTTTAGTGTACGCACCATTTTTTCTCAGGGGGCAAACCTTTCGTGATGTTCCAGTCTCTGCACTTTGCTCTGACGCGCCAATACGGAAAATTGCGTTTCGTCAAGGTTCATCTTGACAGCATGTCTGAATATTGAGTTTCCGATGAATTTGTTCTGACAGCGGAATAGCCTGGGGCTCAGTGTGGGAAGGCTCAACCACGAAGCAGGAAGATGGATGCTGAAACGGAAAGATTACATTCAGTTACGCTGAACGCGGGTAGCGGGCAGTGGACGTATTTCCTTGTCGTCCTTCATGTCGCACTTAGCGCTGCTGACGGCCGGACGGGTCTAATGCCTGGTTCACACTAGGCCGATTTTTCGGCCGACATGGACTCGTACGAAAAATCCTCAAGATCGGGGCGAAAATTGCGTAGTGTGAACGGTGTTGTCGTACAGGGTTCCGACAAATCTTCTTGTCGCACTAGTTTTCGGCCAAGTATCGACTGGTCGATATTTAGGCGAAAAGCCGGCCGAATTTTAGTGCTTGCGCGTGATGGAGCATGCACCGGACCAATCACTGTAGGCTTTTCACCATGACAGCGGAGAGCGTTGGTGCATGGTGCAGACCAGGGAGGCTTTTACGACTCCCTGGTGCAGACCGTGAACATGGTGAACCATGTGAACTGGCTGCACTGGATCGCTACTAGTACTACAGTACTAGTACTAGTACTGTAGTAGACGCTAGCCCTTTCACACCTTTGCCGCTTTGGCTTTGTGGCTCGTGTAAAAACTATCTCATTTCCGCTGTCTAGCTAGCGTCTACTGTCTAGTGGCAGTGTACCGCGTGTACGTGTGTAACAGACAAGCCTACATGTACAACTAAAGTACAAACGAAATTGCCCACCTTTGTGTGTGAACAGCTAGTCCGACTCATCCGACACAGTCGGCAGACTCCGTGTCGGAGTCGGTGTCGGAGTATCGGCCGGAAAATCGGCCTAGTGTGAACCAGGCTTTACGGGCCAAGTGCGCTTAGCTACCGCGTACTGGCACTTTCGCTGACCACACTTTGCGAAAAGATCGACATATCAGTCTATCGGCCTAGGAGGCTAGGTGGATAGACGTGATCTACTATAGTATTACTAGTAAGTAATTTCGTTGCTGATAAAAGAATGCGACATTTTTCGTAACAACTCAAACTGTTATCGTTAGCTCGCGGGAAGCGGTGGCTGTACCTCGTGCACAGGCAAAGGAAAGCTTGCGCAGGTCCGCTGTATATTTATCGTGAATGTCCCCTGCGGGGAAGAACTGATGTGCTGTATCCGACAGGGTTACGGAAAGAGCGCATCGTACGGTCGCTGCGCCCGATCCGGTACATACCTGGTCGGCAGTGATTATACATTTTTTGGTTCGCACCCATTTTCGAATGACGTCACTATTACTTGACCAGGATGCCACGCCAACCAGCACAAAAACTTTGCCGTACTTCGAGTATCTGTACTAGTGGAGAGTTGGGACATGGCATGGGAATGACTATTGTGTTCGGATGAGTAACCAGCTGCCTCTGGCTATGCAGTAACTAGGCCCATATGACAGATGTAGACAGTATCTTATCGAGCGTTCATTTTGAGTTTTGTGAGCCGCACACTTGCTACGGTGTGATCCAGTGCAGTGGATACATCATACAGTGGTACTGTTGAGTGGCGGAGACCGTAGCGCCGAAGACCGTAGTGCCGAAGAACGAACAGGCCAGAATTTCACCAAGCACAGCATACCAATGCATGCACTGTGACTCAACTGCGCATAGACTGCCGTACATGAAAATTTGAACGGCCTAGGCTAGGAGGCTGACCCCCGAATTCTTCGGCGACTGTTAGTACTGTAGTCCATCACTGATCTACTGCATAGCCCTTAGCCCTAGTGATGAGCTAATCACTGTGCAATGACTGCAGCACAAAATAACACATTCAATGATTGTGTGTTCAGCTCGTGGACAATGAGCACATACAATGTATCCTGCACAGAAGGTAGAAAGAGACTTGGGCTGCTGCTCGAGTATCTTGCTGTGCGATCCGGAGGCGAAATTCTGACCTCAGAAATTGCCGTCCACGTTGTGTCATTATAGCATGTTCGGATAAGAAGTTTCAGCCGTGGTTGGCTTTATAAAACCCTGTTATTGCCACACAAAGTGGTCATTGGCTACCCCAGCCATGGATTGCTTGGAATCAAACTATAATTAATACTACAGAATTACCCGGGATCATACAAAGTTCACCCATCTTCTGCACATGCGTGTCCATCTCTAGCAAAGTACTACTATACTCTTCAGAGCCGCAGAATTTTTTTTGATAGGCCCCGTAGTATTGTGGCCTTTCATACCTTGGGTATCGAAACGTTAGATACGTACATTGTGCATGCCCTCCACAGTACTAAACACAATCATGTTGGTGGCCAAAATGTTGGACCGATAAAAACCGGACCAACTGGACCTGGTCCGGCGGGCCTGCTCTCCCGTGTTCTATGTCCATCATTCTGTTTCACGTCACACACTATTCTTTTGTGTTCTATGTTTATTTGTCCGTGTCGCAGATTCACAGATAGCGTTGTCGTGTCCGTCGAACAGCACGTCGTCCTGCTGCATTCGCCCGTGCCACGACACCTGCCAGGGTACGGGCACGACGTTCTGCTCGCGTCGCTGCGTGCCCGGGTGCGAGTGTGACACTGGCTACGTACGTCATGGCACTAAGTGTGTGCGCAAGAGAAAGTGTAAGCTATTTTCTACTCTCGCAAGTTTTCTTACCCATTGCATGTTTGTACTGTTTTTGGATAGTTTGCCGCAATTGGCTCTCACCTTTCATTTCACATTCCTACGGTCGGTCAGAATTGACTATGTGCTATAGTTACAGCTAGCTTTGCCAGTAAAATCCTCCTGAAGAGATGGCAACGAACACGTAGAAGGAAACCTAACCGGTGTGAATGGTGTGTGTGTGTGTGTGTAGTGAATGCGCAACTCACTTTATGTATGACATAGGCTATGGTTACCTTCACCTTTACCAGGGGCTTAGCAGCCGGTCCAGCTGGTCCGGCTTGGTTCGGCTTTGGCCGGACCATTTTTTTAAAACACAATGGCATAAGTGCCCAGAATGTAGGATTTTGCACCCTAATTCTAAATTTGCGCGATGGACCCCCGACCCCCCCCCCCCCCCCTCCTGCCGAACCACCTCCGACGGCGGTGCTACGCGCCTATTTACCTAAGCTGTAACAGGTGCATGGCACACTTTCTAGCTATCACCATGATGCTCCTCTAATATTAAGTGCTACTGAATGAAATCCGAATCCTTCTGAGTTAAGTTAGCACACTGCTTAGTGGCATAGTTGACTTACGCGATCGGATTTCATTGAGCAGCACAGTTACAATCATAATGATGTCATGAATCAGAACAAGTCTGCATTCTGCATGCATAGGAGTGAAGCCACCTGCTGTCTCTAAAGGTTTCGCATTTAAGTAGGATATACAAAACATTATCTTTTAATGTAAAACCAGATATTTTAACGTCAATAAAATTTAGCGATCTCTGGATTTCTGTGGGTTAGCGTGGTGAAATTCAAATGAGTTCTGTCTCAAAACCAGCAAATTACTTTACATGTTTATATTGTTCTGCACATAATGACTTCAAATGTTAACGAATTTTTTAAGTTCGTCAATCGTTAGAATTAAATGTTCGTTAGCATTATTGATCTTACAGTATCTAATTTATGTGACTCTTTCTCGCAGGCTCCCGGATTGTTTTGCCATTAGCTGACTCACCAGAAGCCACTGAACTGAGTAAGTATGGAACCGAGGGTTTGCGCTTGATTGTGCTGATCCCTCCGTTAAGGTGAACATGTATGTATGGCTAGGCCTTGTGTTGTTCTGACGGTATCCAGCAACGTAGATGTTGTGTGTGTGTGTGTATGTGTGTGTGTGTGTGTTTGTGCATGTGTTTTGAGTTTTGCAAATCCACGGGTGCGCGTGTGTGTGTGCCAGTTAGTCCGGCTGGTGGCTGCATTCATGCTGGGTCTGTTACCAACGATCTCAGCACTGTCGTTGTGCCTGCGTATGAACTATTACTTCATAAGTATTATCTTCACTGGGGCCAGGGATAAAATAATGCAGTTGAATTTCGGGACGGATATCGTATTTGTCACCATTCCCAATGACAGGGCTCTGTCAATCTTTTTGGCATCCAAACAATAACGTTATTACAATGAACACGAGTTAGATTAGCATTCCCTGGACGAACACTTGAAGTAGTATTAATTTTGTGCTTGTGATCCAGGACAAATCAGCGAGGGGCCTATCGGGTGTCCGGCGAACTTCACCGCCACGTGTTCACCTCAGACCTGCCACTTCACGTGCACTAATCACACGCTGCTACGCCTGGGAACGCTGTACTGTCCGCCCGGTGCCACCCTGGAGCAGCCCGTCTGCATCTGCCAGAACGGCTATGTTCGCAAGGGGCGCAGCTGCGTCCTGCCCAAGGATTGTCCGCCCATTCCCAGGTCACGAGGCGATCAGCTGGGCCCGCCGACCCGGGGGCCGTATGACCCACGGTTTGTGACAAGTGTAAGTTTCAGTTGCCTGGGCTGTTGTGTTTCTCAATATGATAATGGTATAGTCATAATGGATGGCCACAATGGAATCCGCATATTTTAAAAGCAGATTCCCCTGTAGCGATCGGTTTTAACCATACATATCCTGAAGATGGGCCTTTTCTTTTAACCGCACACATCCGTTTTCCACAAAATATCAGGATAGGCAAGGGAACCGGATAACCGAACACCGATTATGTTGGTTGCATCACGTATGTTGTACATCTGTAACCAGTTATTTTCTTCCGGCTGGCGAGGGATCCGGATAAAAGAGGACCGGATAACTGAGGTCTGACTGTACAATTCCACTTTGTTTTCAGTGATTGATGTACGGTAGCCCATAGACCGGCTTTAGAGAGTGTAGTGAGGATGTAGCGTTATTGTGTGACATCACTGTTTTGTCTTTATGCACACCTTCAAGCTAGATAATGAAACGATTGCGGGCAGCATATCAAGTACATTTACATATAGTATGGGTTAACGGGAAAAAAACTGGGATAAAGCTTGTAGATGAGAGTGTAACATGAGTATTCCTAGTTAAATAGATTCTTGGCTGGAGAAAAGCAAATCAGCACACGAAGCACAAAAGTCATATCGTTTCGACTAGGCCTTTCGTACCAACACTTTTCAAGTCGAATACAATGGTGATTAACAAGGTAGCAGGCAAGTCCTTATAACCGGCTTCCTAATTGCATCGATTCGGCCAATTGTTTGAATTGGTTTTGTGAATTGTGTTTTGTTTGCAGAGGAACCCCGTAGTCTACACACCACCGGATCTGGAAAAGCCCACCTTGTTTCCCGTGGATAGGGCCACAATAGCACCGGAGGAGAGAATCACCGGATGGCCAAAGACAACGCCAGCACCCCCGCCGGTGCAGGGCAGCAGCATGAGCACAGTTGCACCGCGGAACGAAACCACGCCAGGAGTACAGCTAACGCAGGTACGTGATCCCTGTGCATACAATGTATGAGCAGGGGAGTTTTACTTACTAGAGGGGGATCTTACCCACCTGATGGGGGGGGGGATTTTACCCATGGGGATCTTACCCAGAAACTAGAGAGGATAAGCGTGTGTGTGTGTGTGTGTGTGTGTGTGTGTGTGTGTGTGTGTGTGTGTGTGTGCGTGTGTGTGAGAGAGATAGAGAGAGGGGGGGGGGGGGGAGGGGAGTAAGATGGATGTACTGAAGAGGTTAACATGCACGTTATTTCTGATGTGCCGCGAAAGTTCAGCTCGCGTTATTTGGCTCGCACTTTGGAAAACAACGCGAGTGGCCTGCAGCTCACGTCGAAATTTGCAGTTTTACGCCAAATTTGACGTGAAACTGCGTGTCACGTCGGAAATAACGTGCATCTTAACCTCTCTAATGTCCTTTATCAACGCCCCCCCTCCCCCCCCCCCCCCTCTCTCCCCAGTAATGCACACGACTCAAAGAGCACATAATCGCGTACGGACTTGGTAACGAGCTGAAGGTATGATGCATTCGAACCAGTGTCTTCCCCTCGTCATGCCTGTCGCTGTTTGATCATTTCTCCGTGCTTTGCGTAGGAGACGCCCGACACATCGTACAGCTCTGCACCCCGCACACAGCAGCACACCAGCGAGCTGATACTAACAGCAGTGCTCGCGGTGACCGGCACTCTTGCCATACTCGGCTCATGACCCTGAGTTGTAATTTATTGACTTTATTGACTGGATGATTGCGAAAACAACAAATTTGCTTATACTTCACAGCACATGATGACTGCCATGTGCTGGTACAGTGTTGTCTGATCTAATCCTAGTGTTCCTGTGGTGAATTCTAGCTTTTACATCGTAACAATTAGACACAACAATATCGCCTCCTCTTCTTGATGCGCTCCCAGCACGTAGCTCCTTCGTCGTTTGGAATTGTTCGTGTGTGTAATGGCTACCAAGGGTGGCCATGTGTCGGCTGAGAGCGCGTGGGGGAGCAGTGGAAGAGATAGTGTTGCAGTATTGAACAACCGAATGGCACCCTTCACAATGTTACAGATAATTAGACACACATAATAATTGACTGGTAATATATGGGAAGTTTATACTTTCATGGCATAATAATCCCCTTCACCATGAGGTTTATCCTTATTCCCAAGCCTTTTGTACATAAGCGGTTCACCGTGAACATGTCCATAATACAGGTAATGACTGTAGTGTCAAAGACCTTTATTGAAAAATCTATGATAACATGATAGTATTATTATGATATAGACACACATAATTATAGGGTCCGTTGGAAATCAATTTCACGTGGAAGTGTCTCCACTCGAGTACTCCGAAGCCTGCTCCATTACTGTAATCATCAGGAGAGCATGCCTGACTGAACTATCCAGTGCGTGGGCTGCATCAGTATGTCATGCACCCACCACGCATGCTCAGCCATCACGGACTATTCGCTCCCATTTGTAAACTATTCAATGAGCCAAAGACTTCACACAATAATTATTTAGTTGTCCGCTCTCCTATCCTGACATTCATCATACAGTATTTGTCATGTTCGGAGTCATGAGTGCTCCGTTCTCGGCAACCGAAATCGATTTTTTTGATCGTATAACGTTTGAGTCGCCATGTGCGTGGATTAGAGCACAACTGCGTGCAGGATGAGTGGAGTCTGGCCTGCACATAATTGTAGCTCACTTTCGTTCTTCAACTTATGTACAAGAATGATGTCCACCCTGGAGCCGGATTTATTGGCAAAGTGTAACGTGGATTACCAATCGAATCCATAAACGTACACTCACAATCGCGTGAACTCTCTCACACCGACACAAACACGCGCACACACGCACACACACACACACACACACACACACACACACACACACACACACACACACACACACACACACACACACACATTTACACACCTTTACACAGACAGCCCGACACGCATGATGCACATACGCAAGTTCACACCCCCCCCCCTCCCGACGAACACACACGCAGACAGACACGTCACTCCCATCCCACAGCGGCACAAACCTGCAAGCACACCGTCCACAACTACTCAGGCATACCTGCAAAGCAAGTCGATTTGCCACCCAGGTTTTCCAATTGACTGAGAATACCAACAGTTAAAGAGATAAGGACAGAAAACAGCACCAGCAGCAGACCGGATGGTAGGCAAATAATTATATAACTGCACGTCCGGAACTTCTAATAAAACATAATATTCTCAGTATACCTATAATATGAAACCAGGAGGTCCTTTTGGTGAGATAAATATTCTGTGTTCTGTACGTACAGCTGAAAGGACTGAGGTGAGTAGAGCATGATTAGTATCGTGTGCAGGAGCAAGACATCAGATCACACAGTCACATGAGAGGGCATGCGATGCACCAATGTTGTGGCAGGACAACAACGGATCATGAGCGCATAGCAACGTCCAGTCACGTGACAAACACAGCCTGCCGAGTCTCGGATACAGACTCGATGAGCGGCTCAACTCTGGCACGACAGCACGACAACAAAGTGTATGTACTGCCCACATTGAAGGGAACATTTCTACATGAGCTGGCAGGTGACACATACGACACATCTTAAAGGTAGCATTACTACAACGAACATAAAGAATCCACAACACCACCGCGTAAAAATCTTACTGTTCAAACGCCGAGACAGTATTACAGAGCTGCGTCACGTCTTCAAATCAAGAATCAAGATATGATAATTATAGGAATCAAGAGACCGGTATACGCTTGGTTATAAGATACCAGCGTGCATAGGAAAATGACCAACCATCAAGCAGTGAAACCTTGGTTAGTGGATAACCTCGGGTTTGTGAGTAAGAGAACACGTCTTGACATTCTACATACATGTAGCTTCACGCAAGATATCGTGCTGTCCATCACGGCAGTGTACACAGACTTGCAGATAACACAGTTGTGCACGCGTGTGTGCACGAGGGGGGGGGGGGGGTAGAGAGGTGTGTGCCCGCATGCCTACATGCGTGCACCCATGTCCACAGTACCAATGATACTAGTCCCAACAGCACGTGTAACAGCCAGGAGAGCTACGCATCTTATGTGTTGGATTAGGCCAACTCCATCACAACCGCCGCATCATCATCATAGTATACACATATACCACAACTGGGACTCGTGAATGACCGGCTTTTACGGACCTCGTAGCTACGGCACTCGGCTCGTCGACGGGCTGAGGGACTCTGTCAACTCCAGCACAAATGGCTGGTCACCTCCATAATTTACACCTATACCACACCGGGCACTCGTGAATTGCCGTCGTTCACGGACATCGTGACCACGGCATTCGGCTCATCGTCGACAGACTGGATCAGCGTCGGGCTCGGCTCCACGCCCTGCGACCGCAGCAAGCGAGTGCGCTCGCTCGGAGCCAGCATGGCCACTCTCCCGCTGCTGATCTTCAACGACCCACTGGTGCTTTGTGTACGGGTAGTATTTGTCGTACGAGTCGTATGACTACGAGTCACTCGTTTCTGTATCATCACGCAGCACGCGCAGGTGCAGCACCGTAGCCAGTCGCCGATCGTGACGCGCACTTTCCTGGTGAAGACGACGAAGAGCAGGAAGTTGACCAGACCCTGCCCGTTGTCACCAAGTGCCTGCAGGTAGTTAAGCACGCCTAGACCGCGGCTGGTTGGCGGAATCTCCTGACCATCGCCGTAGCGATTGAAGATGAAGTTGAACGTTCGAACGGTACCTAGAAGCAAACATCAGCAGCACACACACAAAAGTTGTGTTTCCGTGAAACGAGTCGTCATAGAGAAACGTAGTATAAACCGCCCAATGTTGGCGTCACTAAAATTTTGCGATCTCTCAGAACCAGCGAGTTTACAATGGTGAATGTTTGCGGAGCACTGTGGCCATACATATGCATCCACTGTTGAAGTTTGATTTCACGATGAAATGATCAACCAAGTGTACATAAACCGACAGAACGGCAACACGCACGCACACCAAAGGACACGTTCATTCGACATGCAAAAAAAAGAAAAAAAGCACTTCATTGCACGGAAACAACGGGCACACTACACCAGCATCAAAGCAAGCCGTCTCGTCGCTGAAAATTCGTTTTATCTCAATCAAATTTTTCACCAGAAGCCATCATCAGGAAAATAGGAGCAAGGAGACCACTTGCTTCGATGACGGTGTAGTACTGTTTGTGTAATGGAGTGGCTGCAGTGCAGCGTGCGCACCTTAAGAAACACTTCAGTTCTGTGTCTGTATGACTGGTTCAGCACCCGGTGTATGGGAACATTTGTGTTCACAGCATACAAGTACCGTTTTCAGGGGCGTCGCACACGGTACGGTCACTGCGGTATTGACGGTACCACTATTTGCCCCAAGTACCCCGTGAATCAATAAAATACACTGATCTGGGATCTAAATTTCCAAAATTTCCGGCTCGGCCACCACTCCCCCACGAGTAAATTGTACTTCAGATGGCTGACCGTACCACACTAAAATACCTTCCGATCCCGGGTCATCGTTTTCCGAAATACAAGCAGCACTTGAAACAAATATGGCAGTGCGATTTAAACTGCGATGATTGAATGAATGGTGACATACAAGCTGGATGGCTGTATTGTGTGACAAAAATCTGAGTGCAGCTTGTACTCCAGTACGGCGTATACTGTAAGACCAGATATTCGAATTCTGTCCGTCAAAACCGGCAAATGGCTACACATGTAGATATCGTTTTGTACATAATGACTTCAAATTTTAACGAATTAAAATGTTGGAATTAAATTTTCGTTGATATCAGCGGTCTTGCTTACAGTACTCCACAAAACACAGTACGGTACTGACCCCAGACTCGGAGGATAACGTACGCCAGCGGCACAATAATCAACTTGCGGTCAATGGTGGCCAACGCTGCCTTCATGCCTTGACTCACGGGCTCATCGACTTCTCTCTAAACACACAAACGGACACACACATATGAACGTACACATGTGGATACACACACAGACAAGGAAGCACACATGCGCACACACACGCACATACACACACACACAAACGCGCACACACACACACACACACACACAAACCTTGCAGCAATATGCATGCCAAAACACCATGAAGTTTTCACTTGTCCCTTACATACATACCTGTACAACTGAGGGACTTACAAAGCTAAACTGAAGGAGAATGTTTTCGAACTGCATTTCCAGCAGACTCTCACTACGGCGCAGAACCAAGTCCCAGTGTGTCTAGTTACCTTATACCAAGAGTAGATAAACAAGAGTGTGCAACTCCGGATTTCTTCTGCACAATCTGCAGATACCCCCGCCTGTGGCGGAATTTTTTGTTGACGTCACCTTTTTTCAGAAGAACGCGCATTTTGCCCCAGAGCAGTGTGAGAGCACGTGCTGGGCACCGACTTTGTAATGTAAAGCCCGGCCAAGTGCACGAGGCAAAACTTTCCAAAAGACTCACAGCGCGTGCGTCGTCGAAAAGATTACGTCAACAAAAAATTCCGCCGCGGGCCAACCCATCCCGGAATTGCACACTCTTGTCTATCTACTCTTGCTCCAAGAGTGTATAAGCTCCCAAGAGTGTATAAGCTCCCAAGAGTGTATAAGCTCCCAAGAGTGTATAAGCTCCCAAGAGTGTATAAGCTCCCAAGAGTGTATAAGCTCCCAAGAGTGTATAAGCTCCCAAGAGTGTATAAGCTCCCAAGAGTGTATAAGCTCCCAAGAGTGTATAAGCTCCCAAGAGTGTATAAGCTCCCAAGAGTGTATAAGCTCCCAAGAGTGTATAAGCTCCCAAGAGTGTATAAGCTCCCAAGAGTGTATAAGCTCCCAAGAGTGTATAAGCTCCCAAGAGTGTATAAGCTCCCAAGAGTGTATAAGCTCCCAAGAGTGTATAAGCTCCCAAGAGTGTATAAGCTCCCAAGAGTGTATAAGCTCCCAAGAGTGTATAAGCTCCCAAGAGTGTATAAGCTCCCAAGAGTGTATAAGCTCCCAAGAGTGTATAAGCTCCCAAGAGTGTATAAGCTCCCAAGAGTGTATAAGCTCCCAAGAGTGTATAAGCTCCAAAGAGTGTATAAGCTCCCAAGAGTGTATAAGCTCCAAGAGTGTATAAGCTCCAAGAGTGTATAAGCTCCCAAGAGTGTATAAGCTCCCAAGAGTGTATAAGCTCCCAAGAGTGTATAAGCTCCCAAGAGTGTATAAGCTCCCAAGAGTGTATAAGCTCCAAGAGTGTATAAGCTCCAAGAGTGTGCAACTCCTGATACTGTCAGTCTACAAGTTTTCGGCCCATTCAAATGTCGGCCTCCCAGGGCTAAAACCCATTTCGGACGCATCAGATTTTCGGCCTGTACTGCAGCCGCCCGTATACACATGTCACACTGAACCCGTGCAAAACAAAATTGCGGCCGCAACAAATTTTCGGCCAAACGTGACCAGGCCGAAAATAGCTGAAAATAAATATGCGCCGAATATTGGTTAACGTACAGTACCCTTTATATGGCGTTCACCGACGACGAAAACTTACATCACGTGGTGTGGTGTCCCCGCTGTATGTTTCCAGTCAGTTTTAGCGAGCAGCGGAGCAATAAAATAATAATTAGCACTCCCTGACAGAAATTCACGGCGCATATGTAATAGGTGTATTTATACAACGACATACATACTCACTACTCGTATTTCCCGCTCGTTGCCCTTGGCAATGAGAGCCACCCACGTATAGAAGAGCGCATGCTCCAGTGGATGTCTAGTCTTGAGTTGTTGTTGTTGTCCTGTACTCCTTTTCATTCTTGTCTGGACTCTTGTCGAAATACTTCCATATTCAATACTACAAAACCCCTGTGTTCTGGTGTGAGGGGACTTCGTTTAGCCGGGAGCTAACACTGGTGGCAGCGGTGGGATTCGAACCCACGCCTCCGGAGAGACTGGAGGGGATGCAACTCCGCAGCATGATCATACAGATAATCAGGTTTTTTTTATTTCTGGTGAAAATTCGATTTTAGGGTGTACGTGGACTTACGGGGGGGGGGGGGGGGGGTATTCGGATTGCACGCACGCTACCCTTCATCGTACGTAGTACGAAACCTACTTAAGATACGTGATGCACCCCGTAGCATAGTACATGCAAATACTATGCCATTGTGTTACTGACCGTCATGTTGCGACGTATGTGCACCTTGATGAGTATATACAGCGCGGGCACAATGATGTAGCTTGCCAGCTCCCATCCCTTCATAGTGAACAGCATCCACAATATCATTGCACTGCACAGGGAACAGACAGCCAAATTGAAATAATCTTTAAAATTTAATTTTCTCGTATTACCACCACCATGGTGTTTCACTGCAATTTCAATTGCTATAATCTCCCAAATGTTCGCCCTGGGGGCGTTGAAAACTGCCACAACTATCGAGAACTCAGCTGATGGCAGGGTTGGCATGGTCTCGAGGGTGGTTGGAAAGAGCAGCTCAGGACAATGTCTTACACAATTCTATGTCATGCAACTACACTGCCTTCTGGACCATAGGACAATAGTGTACACATGCACATACCTACTCATGTTGGGGCTGAAACGATCACATTCCGATTACTCGTCACTCACTTGGTGTGTGTGTGTGTGTGTGTGTGTGTGTGTGTGTGTGTGTGTGTGTGGTTGTTATGTGCACACCCACATACAGACACGTGTGTGCATGCATGTATACACACATGCATACATGCAGACGCACGCGTGCACATACCATATTTTCGGAGTATAGTGCGCACCTTTGTGTACTTCAATCTTCATTGAAGTACATTCATTTCATATTCGGAGTATAGTGCGCACCTGCGATTTAGGGCCGAAAATAGCACATCTAAAGTGCGCACTATACTCCGGAAAATACGGTACACACACACAAGCACATAAATACTTACATGCACACACACACACACACGCACACACACACACACACACACACACACACACACACACACACACACACACACACACACACACACACACACACATGCACTCACTGTTTGCATCTCCAGCTGGCCGGGTAACGCGGCTCCACGGACACCCAGCACCAGCCGTCGGTTGCAAGCGTCAATGAATCTCCAAGACCACCAAGGGAATACGCAATCATACCGATAATCAGCGGCAACACCCAACCGACGAAATGAAACAAGGGCATGAGCTTCTTAGCGAGCTGCACCCTGTCCAAGACAATGCTCATGTAAAGGTAAACAGCCAGGGTAGTTGTCCAGAACATGAACGAGAGAGTGGACACAGTGGTGAATATCGCCTGCACCGAGCATCCGGTCCCACTGTCAAAGTGATGCAGCGCCCCGACCGTGTTGCTCAGGCAGCTGACAAAGTCGGCGATGCTGATGAAGACGACGATGCGCCGGGAGGTGGCGCGGCGCAGGTCCTGCGACATTACGAACGACGCGATGATGAACACACTGGCGAGCATGGAGAGCACGGCCACGATCACCGACACGACGCGAGAGCCGGGCCACCGCTCGTACAGCTTTGCGCTCGTGGCGGCGCTGTGCAGGATTGCCGAGCCATTCAGACACATACTGCTTCCACTGCTTCGGCTCCTGTTGCTGCCGCTGCTACTGCTGTTGCTGATGTTCCTGCTGATGTTGTTGCTAGTGTGGTAAGGATGCAGGAGAGGCCACTACAGTAACGACCAGTGGATGATGTGACGGCTTGTTGCACGACTGTACACCATCCAGCGCATTATATAATCACAAATGGGTGTGTGTGTGTGCGTGTGTGTGCGTGTGTGTGTGTGCGTGTGTGTGTGTGTGTGTGTGTGTGTGTGTGTGTGTGTGTGTGTGTGTGTGTGTGTGTGTGTGTGTGTGTGTGTGTGTGTGTGTGTGTGTGTGTGTGTGTGTGTGTGTGTGTGCGTGGCTGATTACAGTAGCGATCACGTCCCACAGCCTGTTCCAACAGGATACTGGACGACTTCGCACGCCGACACCCGCATCAGCTAGCACAAGCACTTGTGTTGGGCCCGCGAGGAGTGCTCTGTGTTGAGTACAGCTCGCTGTTTACAGCACAAGTCGAACTTTGAATGAATGGCTGCGCTTGATCGTTGTGTTCCAGATCAAGCGGATCGTTAGCCAAACTGAGAATCTGCTTCCCTTGCTGCCGAACATCGGCTAGTGCTTACCGACACACCAAGTTGCCAACTGGATACTACTCTACAAATTGCGACTGCACACTAGAGTCTTGCTAGCTGCTAAGTTCCTTTCCTTTATATTCTACGCGTCTCTCACCAATGATGTCCAACGTGTTGCTCCTTGAGGGATAGAAAATCAACGCTGGAAAAGGAATCGACGCCGATTCCCGAAGGCCGGAAATTTCTCGCACCGGCTTCCCGGCCCACCTGATCACCTTCCTTACCAGGAATTATTTTCAGCTCTCAACAAAGACCCTGCGATGTTATCGCGATGGCCATGATGTGCATTCAGCGCGAGCATTCAGGATCAGTGCCTGCCATGATGTGCATTCAGCGCAAGCATTCAGGATCAGTGCCTGCCATTATCGATGCCTAAACCGTTTTTTCACAGTTTCAGATGTAGATCCACATATTTAATACATGCATGCATATGCGCATGATAATGACCTGTCCAATAATTATTTTTCTCCCCAACACACAGACTGAGCACGACCCCATCAAAAGCTGTCCAGGCGCTACTACTGCACTGGTCTGCGCTACAGTACTGCCGCTTGGCATGATTGATAGGGCGCAGGCCAGCTGATCATGTCACTCCGTCTTCGTGAATGGCACGTGCAACCTTTCCGATTTCTTGCCACTCATCACTGACATCGACCTAGCTGGCTCGAGCTCGCGACTCGAGCCAGGTCGACTGGGCGCATGGGCCCATGGGTAGTATGCAGTGCCAGGCAAAGGAGTTGTCAAATCTGAAAACCTTTCACCGCACTCAACTCTCAAGCTCGCCCTCGAAACATTGGCAGATTCTGCTCGAAAAGCAGTGAAAACACAGTATTCTGATGATCGCTCGAGCTGCTCACTACTTCAGTATTTTGTAGTACATTGTACCATGGTATAATGCAATACTGGTAAACCAGTATTAGATAAACCTTGTTGTAGTCCGTGAGCCAAATCTCAGAATCGGCTGTTTTAGCATCGACCGTTGCACCCAGAGAGGGACAAATCGTCCTTCGGCACACCGCTTCACGATGGTATCCTGAAGCGATTTCCACTTGTTGGACAGTTCGAAACTGATCCAGGGAGGTCACAGAAGACGCCAAACATCCAACTTTGCTCACTGACAGCAGCGGCCATTTTCGCCTTCTTCGCTTGATATTTTTGCGCTTGTTCACGGATTCTCATTCTTTGAAGCCATGAGCAGATACCACGAGTGCACATAACGCGGAAACCAGTGCACAAAACTAGATTCGAATTTTTTTGCCGCTGAGAATTATGAATCGGGATGCAAACTGCATGCAGCAAAGTCACTACTGTTTGTAGTTACAATGCAATCGTTCAGAACTGACTTCCAAGAATGTCCTAAATATCTCTCGACATATTTGTTCACGACTTTCTAGGCCAATAGGCGTAGACTGTAGTGAGTAACCTTCTGGAGCAAATGACGACTGCCCCGAGCATGAACTTCTTTTCATCCTGTTCAAGGTCAAATATTACTCAGTTTGCGTTGAAGAATAACAATTACATTCGTGAATGGCCGAACTGAGAAAACCCTCATGATTTCTCTTGGATTTCGTATCCCAAGTTCCTCTACTTGGCTGGATAAATCGCCTCTTTACTTCATCATACTGGACTGGAACTTGTAGATAATAGCGAGCAATGAATTGGTGAGTGAAGTATATTTCAAAAGTAATAACCACTCGATTACTGAATAGTAGTGAATACGTAGAATACTCCAGTATTATTATTATATGAACACTGAAGCTAATGTGACATTACAGTAGTACAATAGGAAGTACGTCACCACACTGTTGTAAATGCACGCGCTGATCCTACCCAACCTGATGGCCAATGCAAGAGGTTGGAATTGGCTATTGATTTCCTAACACACTCATACAGCACCAAAAGCTATCAGATAGATTCTGTCATTGCTCATTTTCAACTCAACATAACACAGTTGCAAATCACCAGGTGCACATCTTGGCACATAATGTGTGCTGTCACAGTCCACCGCAGAACATAGTAATCCACAAATAACTACCGATATAAGATGATGTCACATACATACATACATACATGCATGCGCGCGCACCCACACCCACACGCGCACACACACACACACACACACTTGAAGCAGCTGAATAATCCGACTATGCAGTCTCCCAGGCACGCGCACACACACGAACCAGCTGCCGAATCCAACTATACAGTCTCCCAGGCATGCACGCTCGCACACACACACATGAACCAGCTGCCGAATCCACACAAACACGCGCGCGCGTGCGCACACACACACACACACACATGAACCAGCTGCCGAATCCGACTATGCAGTCTCCCAGGCACGTGCGCACAAACACGCTTATGCGCACGCGTGTGTGCCCGCACACACACATGAACCAGCTGCCGAATGCGACTATGCAGTCTCCCAGGCACGCGCGTGCGTGCGCACACACACACATGAACCAGCTGCCGAATCCGACTATGTCAGTCTGCCATGACTGCGAAACCAGCGAAGACATACAGTGCATTGGCTGCTGCCAGACTGGTCTGCTACAGGTTTGCAACGCTCTTGAGTACACTTGTGGCATGGCAGGCCGCTCTTCGAAAAGGAAATGTTACAAATACTACACTGAATCCAATCACGGGAGGCCGGCTGTGGTGGTGAAGCAATTCTGAATGCTGTGCGCCACTCTCCTCGCTGCTGTGCAGTGTCGAACCAATGTCCTTCAAGATGTAAGTGATGGATGTCCCTTCGGACAACATCACACCAATGCTGTCGGGTTTCACACACACACACACACACACACACACACGGCGCACACCTTGTCGACAATTGCAGAATCTAAAACCCACCAACGACCTGAAACACGGATCGCACTGGCCGCAGTGGCTGTGGCAACACCGTGCCCCAACACCAGTAGTAGCCTGGGGTGGTGTCACCAACAAAGGAAAACGCCTAGCATGCACATGCACGTGCGCGCGCACACATGCACGCTCGCACACACATGCACATTCGCACACACACACACATGCACGCGCATGCACACGCACGCGCACACACACACATGCACGCGCCCACACACACAAACACGCGCACACATGCACGCTCGCACACATGCACGCGCGCGCACACACACATACACAGCTAATGGTATACAGTAGTATGTTGCCCGCAAAGCAGCCAGGTGCTCTGGCTTGGACCTCCAGCAGCGCTGGTTCGCCCTCGCTACTTGTCGTCTTGCCCTCTCCAGTGCTGCCTGCAACAAAACATTCCCTTCCGGAAACTCTGGGTGGACCAGTTCTCCGTGTTGTGTTTACACCGTGCTCTGCTTTCACCGGTATGGCATTCGTTGTTCGTATCAACCACTAAGCTCCTGGTAGGTGGCCCCTTACTGGCCTTAGGATGTGGCTCTGGGTTCACTACTACATGCACATCACTGTCAGCAAGTATAGACAAAGCAAAATCAGAGGCACTGGTCTTCTCCAGGTTTGCAATTGCTATCACATGGGTGCAATTGGTGTAGCACTTTTCATGATACCAGCCACACCATTTACTCCTCCCTGAGCTCTTGTGCTGGCAGAGAAAAGCCCAGATATGGTCGTCCTTCTCTCGAGCAGCGCTGACGATGCGACACCAACTTGTAGTCTCGATATTACTCACTGCAGGCTTCTCGTTTTTACTAAATTGGGCGCTGTGACACAGACACAAAATTCCACCAATATTACTCCGCTGGGCTGTCATTTGCCACTTCGTTGCCGTCAGCTGCCTCATCCAGCACCTCGCTGCCACTAGAAACGTCTTCCTCTTCTTCCATTGTTGTCAAAACAACATCAATGTACACGAAAGGAATAAACTTCAATAAAGTGATCACAATATCCCAAGTCGGTATTGTCGTCAACGTCGTCATCTTCTAAAAAATAAATTATTTTTCCTCACTCTACGCGAACTCGTGTTTTGCGCTTGCTCATACGACGCACACCTCGCCACTGGCGTAAAAATATTTGTTCTCACGGTGGAATTTGGTCGAGAAAAGAAGCCCTCGCGAAGGTCTCTGGATCGGTTCTGGAACGTCCAACAAGCGAAAACGTATCCTTTGTGATGTCCTTGACCAACACTGTAAGCGGCGATTTGTCCATCCGAGAGTGCAACGGCACTTGTGATTTTGAGTTTTGGCTCACGGACTATTGAGGTTCACGCAATTGTTAGATTGACAGCAAGAAACAAGAAAAAGAAAAAGAAGTTTTTATACAAGTTCAAAAAGAGCGAAGACAACAAGACGACGTCATCAGGAGTAGTCTCCTAACTCCCCAGGATAACGAGGGTCAGAACCGGGTGCGATACCCATATGGTTCAAATGGTCCGCAGGGACCGGGGCTCTGCCAACCGCGGAAGGTTGTAGTAAGGTCACTGTTTTCGAACACGGTGTCCTCCTCCGGAGCTCCTTGTTTCATGCTGTCAATCTAACAATAGACCAATCCCGAAAAGATTGTCTGGGTTCGTGAAAGGGGGCACGCGTGCAAGCCAGAATGTGTGAAGTGCATCGTTTTGTATTCAGTTTGTGTGTGTCAGCTCATGGCGGAGGAGAGAGAGACTTTTGCTCGCCGAGCTGAAGCGAAAGGATTTGATGGAGCCCTGCCAGCAGCTAGTCAAAGGACCTTCGGTACCTTAGGCAGACCCTGACGGAGTTTGGAGGCCAGCTAGCTCTCGGTGAGGAGAGAAACATTCGCGTGGCGATCGACTCTCCGTAAAAAATGCAAGCTACATAGCGCCGACATACTGCAACAGCTACGATTTCAGCTAACTTCTCGATCTGCTGCTTCACATAGTTCAACTATTTACAAGTCCTGACTGTTGTAGTCTGAAGCTGGAGTCTCATCGCCCACCTACAGGTAGCTTTTGGAGCTGATGGATTTCCCGACTTGGACTCCTTCCGCAAACTCTCGCAACATTACTACAGTGTATGCTGTGTTTCCGCACGCTCGTGTCGACATGTCATCTATACTGTACATGTACCGGGTCGCGGAGGAGCTGGACGACCTCCGCTGACTCCAGGTTTCCGAAATACTGCCGTCGTCTTCGTTGATGTCGCTGGTGACATTCTCCCCTTGCAGGACGTGCGCATAGTTGTCGTCCCGGGGGTAAAGACTATGTTGTCTTTCGAAATAGTTCTTCATCACGCGCAAATGATGTTTCTCATCATGAACTCGTTCCGACGGTGTGACACGGCGATGGTCTTTGGTGGGGCACTGGCTTGGCGAAAACGATATCTTCTTGTGCAATATAACATTGATCGGCTGCAGATGAGTACAGTCACTTCATAGTTGATCCTATAGGAGGGCAGCGGCTAGGAAAGAGGCAGGACTCATCGAAAACGAAGCGCTCGCAACAAACAATAGCACTCGAAATATCTCGTAAGATTTAGGGCCTATCGCTTTGAGCCACAGCGCTCACAGCCTTGCCTACTTCATAAAAGTGAGCTATACATGTTCGTTGACCTCTTCACACTAACCAGAAGAGCGAAACAAGGATTATGTCTTAGCATTTCAACTCCAACAGCAGACCATTACCAGTGCGAGAGAGAAAACTACAAAGGGCTTTGCTTTCTGTCGCATCGTCTCTTTTGCATGCAACTAACGAGAAAACCGTGTACTTACCCTCGCATTCACACGCGAACTATCAAACACGTCCTGTGCCGCATGCTGATCAGTTAGTGCCATGTATGTGTTGTACAGTGTACTCTCAGGTGACATGCCCCCTTTCGAACCCAGACAATCTTTTCGGGATTGGTCTATTGCATTGTACTAGTGCGTTGAGGTCGTGTGACTCGTCACCGAGTCGTGTCCTTTGACCTCTTCTCAAACAAACATTAGCCATCACGGCCTTGTTGGCAGATCGTTACTACATTGTAATAAAATACTACACTGCAGTGTACAGTAACTGTTACAGTCTACTCCATATACATGTAGCAGCGCCGCATTTCCAATATTGAAGCCAGTATTGAAGCCGAGAAGAAGTAGCGACGACCCGGCCATTATGGAATCCAATACACCACACCACCACATTGCGCTCTTGGCCGATCCAAACTCTGCACTCACATCACCATCACCACAGCGAGGACAATTCCGGTATATTATAGATTGATATTGACAATGACCCTCCAGACAGCTGTTTCGCTCCTCCTGAGCTCATCAGTGGAGGCATATGATGTTGAATGAAAGAATAATAAGAATAGACTGATCTTTATAAGGCTAAATTGGCGCAATTGGCCACGTTTCTATGCAGAATGAGCGCAATTGCGCCAAATTAGCCCTATAAAGATCAGTCTATTTTTATTATTCTTTCATTCAACATCATATGCCTCCACTGATGAGCTCAGGAGGAGCGAAACAGCTGTCTGGAGGGTCATTGTCAATATCAATCTATATACCGGAATTGTCCTCGCTGTGGTGATGGTGATGTGAGTGCAGAGTTTGGATCGGACAAGAGCGCAATGTGGTGGTGTGGTGTATAGCATGGAAGCCAATATGTCAACAATTCTTTTAGCCGGCTTTTCAATATAACCCGTAACTAAGAAGCCATGCTGAGTGATAGGCCAAGACAAGCTACCAACCGCCGGCAAGCATGGTAGATCTACGTCCTTGCATGCGGAAGGGTCATGTAACCATGGTAACCATGGTGGCCCTCACATGTGCACAGGCGCTAGACAGTACAGTCTACTGACTGATAATACGCAGCCAGGCTAGGGGGTCACATGTGACATGACGGTCGAGAGGAGCGCCGAGCATAGCCCCGATCTCCCCGAACCTGTGCGGCTCAAACAAAAATAGGGTGGAACCTAATCCTAATCCTTGGATGCGGAGTATAGTTTACTCAGGGTCATTCTGTCTTGTCCGAGTAACACTAACAGTTGAACTCAGAGCTGTGTAGTACCCTGACATTGCGCACAGAGTTATGGTCGTTCGTTCGTTGCATAGGCCTATAGGGGCTTCGGCCAGGGAACGTTCATTGGTTAGTGAACAAGTCGCTGAAGCTTTTCCCGCAGAGTGGACGAGCTCCGAAACTGGCAAAAAGTAGGATCATTTCACTGGAGTGCCAGTAAGCTTGCTGTTTGAATCAAATCTTCACCCGATCGGCATCATCATGTGTGTGGATGACACGGAATTCAACTCGTCCACGGTGCTCTTCACGTATCCGTCCAACATCGTCGCGTTCACCGTCGGCATCGTGTCGGGCCTGGGGAGCCTTTGCATCCTGCTCTCCTTCACGCTCGTCAGGGATTTGCGCGCCACCACGTCCAGAAAGATCCTGTGCTTCATCAGCCTGGCTGACCTGGGCGCGTGCGTCACGCAGGCCACGGGTGCATCCCAGTACTACGGCGATGTGCTGGACTGCGAGATCCAGGCACTTTTCAGCGTGATCTTCACGCTGTCGTTCGTGATGTGGACGACTTGCCTGGCGCTCTACCTGTATATCTCGCTAGCCCGCGACGACTTGATGCTGGCGAAGCGCATGGTCAACTGGTTCCACATTGTCGGCTGGGGCCTTCCGGTGACCGTCGGACTGGTCGCCTTCTTCTTGGACAGTTTGGGGAGCGACAATTCGGTGGCGACCAATGGATGGTGCTGGGTCAGTACTCAGCCGAAAGTGCCACCGCACAACTTCATGTGTCAATAGTGAGTCGCGTACTGTAGTTAGGGGTTGCTTGTATGAATGAATGTTTGAATGGGGGCCACTCACTGTCCATGAGTACTTGAGCTTACAAGTACTGCCTGGCATCAAGCCTAGGCCATATAGGGGAACCAGGCAGTCCGGCCGATCAGGCCATGGCCGGGCCAACCTTTTGGTATGGTATTGATTTATTTGAATTCGGTATCTCATCAGTACAATGATTGTACAACTTGAGAAGATCCGAATGACATAGATACATAAACATAAAAGTAGAGTAGGTGCTACAGCTGATCATTATATTTGACCACCAATCCCTGTTTACTGCGGAGGAGCTCATGTGCAGCAACATGAGCTCTGAAGACCGACCGGCGAGAATTTCATCAAGCACAGCATATCAATGTATACACAGTGGCTCAACTGTGCATAGACTCACTGACTGTAGTACATGAGTAGTATCATAACGATCTGGGCTAGGAGGCTGAGCTCCTCCCCCCCCCCCCCCCCCCCAGTTCTTGGGCAACCGACAGTTCTGAAACGTAGAATAGCAGGTATGTGGTGGTTGTACTGCAGCTCGTAGACATTCCCACCATATCACAAACAGTCTGTCTCTCTGTCTGTGCGTGACTGGACGTACGTTTTGGGCGCAATCTCAAATCGACCCTGCACCATCGAGATCTGATCCTCCCTAGGTCAAAAATGTGTTCGTCACGGTGAAGCAAATCAATCAGATCATCAAGCTGTAGTAGGCATTTCCCAAATCGGCCCGATTTTTCGCCTAATCGGCTTTTCGATCGGCTAAGAAAATGTCCAAATTCGGCCATATTATGAGCCCCAAAGTCAGAATTCGGCTCAAAGCGGTACTTGAAGCTACCTCTCGCAGCATACATGTACATGTACATGTACACGCACGCTGTACAGGCACTAGACTAACCATTTTCGGCAAATTCAGCGCTAAATTTGTAAATCCGGTGCAACTATTTGCAATTTCTTGACAGCCATTGATTTCTGCGTCTTTTCCTGCAGACCGTTTTCAAAAATGCCGTAAGTCGCAGTCACCTTTCGCAGATAATAGCTGCAGAAATTGTATTTGCTTGCTGTTGGGGCAATAAAACATCGATTTTTGGCGAATTCATTGCAAAAATTGCGTATTCGGCGAAAAGATCGGTGATTTCTTCAAAACCACTGTTTTCGGCCAATTATTCGGCCGGCCGATTTGGGAAATGCCTAGGCTGTAGGCAGGCCAGGAACCTGCTTGCATGCACTACCTCACGAAAATGATGCACTTGCAATTCATGAGTCCAGCCATGATGGCAAATCACTGGAGCTGTGCTCTCTGGTTCGCATGCACTCTTGGTGCTAATCATCTATTTCCCATTTTAAACTCGGTACAGTTTTGCTCGTGCCAGGCCACCACCATGCCTGACCATGCCTGATTCTACCAGGGTGGCCTGGCACGAGTGGAACTTCCTAAACAGGCTGTGGTGTTCTTTTCCAACACAATAATTGTATAGCCGGTGGTAACGCGGACGTGCGAACTTTACTTTACGCTGTACAGTGCAATACTGCTGTGGATGCTGTTGACGACGAAGATCTGGGAGCTGGTATCATACGTGCTAGTACCGTTCCTCTACATCCGCGTCAAGATGCACATACGGAGGGTGGTTGCAGCCGAATCGGCCATGGTGGTGACACAATCCTATCGGCGGGCGGTGTACGCTATCGACAGGAAGCTGGTGATATTGCCGATAGCGTTCGTCCTGCTGAGGATGTGGGGTAAGGGTACACACATGGGGTGGAGGGTGTGTGTGTGGGGGGGGGTGGAGCAGGATGCTGTATGAATGGGAGGAGGGGGTAGGGGTGGAGCAGGATGCTGCATGAATGGGATGAGGGGGGGGGGGGTGGCTCAAAAATTATGGCAGCTAACGCCCAACAGGAGGAGTCATTATCGTAACGAGATGCATTCAGAATGGTTTCACAAAATGTTGTGTGCGTTCCTTCTATTGGTGAATGGAGATGCAGCCTTACTGGTGTAACCGAACTACCAACTAGAGTGTTCTCGATACCTCGGTCTTCATTTGCTAGTCTATCATTGTTTATCATTGTTGATCATTGTTTATCATTGTTCCATGCGTACCTGATGATGGCAATATTGCCGAAACGTTGTACGGTCAGAATTGGTTCGGTCCTGTACAGTGAGTGCTTTGGGAATGGGTGTGAGGGACTGGGTGTGAGGGACTGGGTGTGAGGGACTGGGTGTGACCACGCAACTACTTTCTAGATTGAATAATGAATGATGTTTTCAAATATTCTATTCTAGCAGCTACTGATTACGAAGCAAATCTTGTTCTTTGCTTTTGATCCAAATGTCCTTGCAGGAACAATACGTGTCTTCCTCTACATATTCGCCTTCTATTTTGATGCAAATCCAAGAGAATCCGTCGTGTTTCAGTTCTTTGAATACATGCAGGTATGAACCAGGTGGAACTATTTTTCTATGATCGGGGCCAGGGGGGGGGGGGGGGGGGAGTGGAAGGGAGGTAGGCCCAATTCATCAACATGCTGCTCTGGCTCCCTGCTGTAGTGTCACATCTTCCCATTGGTTCTGCCTTCTCTTTAGGCCGCGGTCACACACGAAACGTGTGCACCGCTTTTGCGGAGACGAAAAGCGTAGCTACCGCAGCCGTTTCGCGGAACACACGATGCAGCGGTCACACATACATGTACCGGTGCTGTGTTCCTCAACGCTCCGCTTTGGCGGAGGGAATGCAAATACAGCACGTAGGTCTACAAGTCCTGTGAAATTTTAGATGTTTCAAGCAAATAGTTAGTTGTCCGAGTTGAAGCGACCTTCGCATGAGCCATCGTGGATCGCTGACACTGACAGGCGGCTGCTGATTGTCTCCTGTGAAGTACACTCGTGGATTTTGGGCACATGCACTGCGGCCCAGGTCAGGTGTATTTGAATATTTGTTTGGTTTACATCGATATCAAATTCAATCAGTTGAATAGGAGGGTGTCGTTGCCTCCTCCATGATCCATCATTGACTCCAGCGTGGATGCCTGGTATTGCAGTGAGGGTGTGGCAGAGTACTCTACTACTAGTACTCCCTGGTTGCAGTCCTAGTGTTGCGCACTCTTTTGGACGCATTGCTTGGAGAGAGAAACGTCGTCCCTTCTCGTCTGCGATCTGGTCCAAGGAGTTGGGAGACGGATTCCCTCACCAACTATCCACTCATAGCGATGCAGTATAGTTTGCGAGATCTCCAGAACGTGCAGAGAAGAAAAATAATTGAATATGAAATAATACCAAACGGCAACCAAACAACACCAGAACTCACTCAGTGCCAGAAATAGCACACCAAAGCCATCACCATGCAGGTTCCGCCAAAGCGGGTCCGCCAAAGCGGGTCCGCCAAAGCGGAGGTTCCGCTCACAATTTTTTTCGCGTAGCGAATCCACACTTTCCGCCCAAGCCTAACTTTCACCTCCGCCGTTGCGGTGTAACTGCGGAAGCAGAAGTTACGCTTTGGTGGCGCCGCCAAAAAAGGGCATGTGTGACCGGGGCCTAACATTCTCTGCTGGACTGCGCACGTCAGTATCAAACAAGTAATAAAAAGAAAAAAAGGACCCAGAAGCTATGGTGTAGTTGTCATCATTTTTCCAGGACACACCCTTTTTCTCTCTTTTCTTTCTTCCCTCTTCGTTGCCTTGTTATCGGGAAGAAATTCCCGTTTGGATATGTGAAATAAAACAAAGTAAAAAAATCCGTATTTTCTCCATTTTCTCTCCAGGCACTCGGTGATAATGGCCAGGGTGCTGTTAACTTCCTGATGTTCTTCTTACTAACGACCAAGGTACGCACCGCCGCTGTCACCGGGATTCGCCGCGCCTGTGCCTGCTGCTGTGGCTCCAGTCCACAGTCATGCTGTTCCCACGGCGACGACGAGGAAGACTACTACGACGGGTACCAGGTGTTCAACGACGGGAATGCGGCGTCGGAGGACACGATCGAGCTGTCCGACAGCAATAGCCTGGCCAGGAGGATCACATCGTCGAGCAAAACCGTTCACGACTCGGACGTGCACCGCCAGAGTCAGATCCAGCGCTGGTTCCGGCAGGCGCAGAGTCGCATGAGCTCCTACTCTGCCACTCCGACAACGCAGGCGCTGCTGGATTCCAAGGATGGCAATGTCGGAATGCCGGGCATTTAAGCGTACCGGTGAGTACTGGAACGGGAGCATGACCAACTCACCTGCAATTATGTTGCTCACGACCAAACCTTCACCCTATCGAAGTGTCACATCGTATGTTTCCTGGCCTGTATGCTGTTGACAGTGGCCTGATATATCTCAGTATCATCAGCACCGGCATTAGCAGTCAGTTTAGCCAAGCCGCGGCCATGACAGGACCAATATTTATTTCAGCCATATGCCAATGTGCTTTGCTGGCTGTAATAATAATAATAATACGAAACACATGAAAACTTTCTAAAAGGTTAGAGTGATCTTCGGCCGTCCAACACAGAGGAAGTTTACCCTGCTGAAGTAGCGGTTATTCCGGGTGCATGGTCAATTCGAAAGGAAAGTGTCCACATACATGTATTTCAGGAAAGGTGATAATCAGAGCATTTGCTTCCCCCCCCCCCCCCCCCCTCTGATTTCTACACATGTCAGGAAATGTTTTACAGCATTTGCTATACCCCCCCCCCCACACACACACTCTCTCTCCCCTTGAATTCCACACATTTCAGCAAAAGCTGTACAGCTTTTCCTACCCCCCCCCCCCTCTCTCCCCTGATTTATTAGGTCCCGTTTAGAGTAGAGAAAGCAGAGACAGTGCAAAGTGCATGCATGCATAGCAGCAAATTAGTTCTGGAAGCTCACTGCATTAGATGTATACATTGTATCTCTCAACCGTTTATCAAGAGAGCCATAGGTCTCGGCTAGTAGTACTAGTAGCGCTATATCTATGACATGATGATGAATCTGAAAGACTTGATCACAAACAGCAGTGGCTCCTAGAATTTGAATACATGTGCTGTAGAAGTCATGTGCATGTACATGTATTTAGAGCAAAGAAAGGAATATAACTATGGATACGAGTTTTTAGCCGTCAACATCCGAGTTTCGTACATGTCTTTGGATACGTTGCATTTACGGGAACTCAATTTCTTTATGCTACAAAGTTCATGCTAGGTTTGGTGGTGAGCATGCGTATTGGGCCGGCCAAGCAGTGCAGTGTGGAGCGGCGGAGTTAATTTTTAAGTTTTAAAGCTGACTTGTCACTTACATGTACATGTACATGTATGTTCCATCTGCATTTCTTTAGAATAGACACTAGCTGATTTAATCTCCCCTACTGGTTTAGTGTTACATGTAAATAATATCTTCCACATCATCGTTGTGCACTTATTCAGTATTTGTCTGTTTAAAGCTAAAACATAATTTTGGAGGGTCATTGTCAATATCAATCTACTTGTATAATTATACCGGAATTGTCCTCGCTGTGGTGATGGTGATGTGAGTGCAGAGTTTGGATCGGCCAAGAGCGCAATGTGGTTGTGTGGTGTATTGGATTCCATAATTATTATTTATCACAGTATTGAGTCGGAACCATTTTGACATTGATTTCAAAGAAACGCATAAGCGGCTTTCGCTCGCGTGGTACTCCATAACCCATTCTGAGCCAATCCATTCCTTGTGACGGTGTGGCCTCAAAACTCATCATTGCCTACTAGTAGATCGGGGATAACTGACCTACATTGCACACTCCAATGTCTTTCAGTTTTAGGTTAAATTTAGGTGCCTGGTTTCTCTACCGAAATCACCGAAATTATTAAACGTTACAGTTATGGGCCAAAAATAACATCTCAGCAGTAGGACTGCGGCCTGCAATAAAGCTTAACCTACAGTACATGTACATGTATGTCATGACAAGTGCTAAGAGATGCTACCAGTCGCATACCCAACAGTCCTAGAATGCTAGAACTTTCTCCGAATGGGCCAATCACCACAGCTAATTTAGAATGCGGATTCTTCGAGTTGTCCTCATCACCTTTCCGTAAAATATCTTAGAAGAGATTACTAGTACTGAGCAGTTGAAGTATCCTGCACGGTTGCTGTCACAGTACAGTGTCAGCCTAACTACTTCCTTTGCAGTGGGCCATAGCAACGAGATTTTGCAAGCGTGCCATGCCTCCCACGTGGAAATGGACTCTGTCTTATTAATATTATGATCTTAGCCCTTAGCCTAGGCTAAGGCCAAGTAAGGGCTAGCATAGGCCCTGCCGCCCTGGTCACACTTATACCTAAGGCAAAAATCAACTTTTTGGGAAATCATCAGTCATTGTTTTAAGTTGAGCAGAATGGCTTCATTGTCGACACGACAATCGACATGTCGACAGTCAAGTAGCTTTTTGCTTGTCAAGAAAAGTTATGGGCAGTCCCTCAGATTTTCGCCTGCTCTCATGCGGACCTACGAGGCTACGTGGCTGCTTTCCGGCCGCGAATCGGCTCACCACAGCGGCTAGTCTCAGTGTTTGCAACGCTGCTCGTCCGTCAGCGGAGTTTTCTGCTCGTCTGTGCCTTGCAACTTCTGCTGCGGAACACTGACTGCAAAATGGGCTAACCAGTAGGAATATGTGAGATTAGGAGGACCTGGAGAATGTCCGCTCTCCGTCCACCACCGCCGTCAAAGACTACTGGGGAGTCGGCGACCCGGAGAAGGTTCGTATTTTGCTTGGCCTGTCATTACAAAAATTAATAATTATTATTAATTTTGTGTCGGGGTTAGGCCCAGACAGATCCTGCCGGCAATTCTTTCGGCAAAATATCGAAGAATTTAAAGAGCGGAAATTGCCGGCAAAATCGGAGCAAAAGCGAGATGTTGGGTAAAATCGATGCCAGATACTTGGATTTCCTTGTTTCTTACTCGTTCAGCAGGACACACTGCCCAGGACGAGATCATGTCACCGAAATATCACTGGGATTCACTGTGGATCGACATGATTTTGGAAGAACTCAGGGACACGTGCGTGGAAACCTGTGTTGAGAAACTGACCCTGCGATTTTTGTACGGGATTGTACGGGAAGTGGATAAAATACACGTTATTCCGGAGCAAAATGGAGCAAAATATCGAGTTTCTTGTTCAAGGCTCGGCAAAATATCGAAGATTTCGCAGCAACATTTTGCGGCAAAATATCGAGGCGAGCGGAGCAGAATCTGTCTGGGCCTAGTCGGGGTCCTCGGGGAGTAGTAAAATACCGGTATTTTACCACTCCCTGATTTGTGTGGTCAGATGCACTACAGTGTATTGATGCATAGAGGCTATGCGAGTGACATGATCACTACAATGTATATGCTTTATACCATGGAGTGAAAAACTCATGCTTGTAGTGATACTGACCACTCCATACTAAATAAGCCAAACGACCACGTAATTATTGCCTTGCATTTGTAGTCCACGTAGTCCAGGTATGAATGCCAAGACAACAACTGAACAGACAGGACCCGTGGAGCATCAGCACCGCCGGAAGCAGTTTTCAATTGGTCCAGTCGTACCGTAGTCTTACATACAGTTTGTGTATAACACAGCGGGGACGCTTGCCCTCCTCAGCGGTACACATGTGTTGGAACCGGCCCAGTTGGTCCGGTGTTTACCTGACCGACTGGGCCGGTTCCGGCGAGCCTGAGCATGGACGGTTTAATCATTTGGCCTGGGACACTGGGCATTGAAGGCCGTGGCTTTGCCTACTTGCCAGGACTCGGCAGGAGCGCTCCACTGGACAAGTTTAGCATTCACAGTGGGCATTGCACAGCACACAACCGATATATCCGGTGCAAACTGAGGGCTTTTGATTTTGTTGTATGGTTGTTGATTTTTCAAATGACTTGTGCAGCGAAGAGAACGTCATTGAGTGTTGAATTGAGGAAACCTTAGTTTTCAACTAGGATATGAAATCCTCCCTTCATACACCCAAGCACTAGTCTTGTTCAGTGACATTCCTCCTTCCAATCAGCCTATCAGTGAATGTGCGCTGATGCCCTGATGTTACGCCTTTGTGGTTAAGTAACGGATTTGTGTTCGTGTGTGTGTGTTTTTGTGAGTGTGTGTGTGTGTGTGTGTGTGTGTGTGTGTGTGTGTGCGTGCGTGCGTTCATGTCCATGCTCGCGTGTGTGCATGTGTGCATCTGCGTGTAGTCTGTTTGTGCACATTGCTGCATGGCTTTAGCAGACATTGAGATGATCAGCGTTGCGGAGTATGAACAGGCGTGGTCACTGTGAGTGACATTGGATATGTGGCAGCAAATAATAATGGACCAACATGTGCTCCTTGGTAAGTCCAATCAATAACATCATTGTGTTAGAGGATATCTTGTAATCCATGTTGGCGCATGATTGCTACATGTAGCTGGGAATACAGGCGTGGTCACCACTACACTAGGATGGTGATGTCATGCTGATGTCATGCTGATGTCATGGTGAATATCATGCAGACAGGGCTAGGATGTGACCAGGGTATACCAGGGCATGCCCTGGCCAGGGCTAGAGAGTGCCAGGGCATGTCCAGGCCAGGGCTAGGGAGTTACAGAGCATTTCCAAGGCACCCAGGGCGAGGGAGTTTGGGCATGTCCTTGCCAGGGCATATCTGGGCATGCTCTGGTTAGCGCTCGGGGGTGCCAGGACATGGAAGGGTATGACCTCGCCAAGGCTGGGAGGGTGGGGGGGGGGGGGGGGAGGGGCATCAGGACATGTGCAGTGCTGGCAACTGAAATCCGATCACTGATAGTCGTGGTGGAGTGCACGCAGAAGCACCGATTCTAGCGATCTCTCAGGAGTTACAATCCCATGCTGGGTCTTTGCAATGTGAGCAGCGCACCGAGTTCAGTTCTAACCTTTGTACATTAGCTATACGTTGTACAGTCCAGCTCGTCGTCAACGACACCTGCACAACCAGGGTACTTTTCGGCAGTCTTTCAGAAGTCCGATCTCGCACACTTCATTCCCCAGAATGAGAACTGGTTCCGAGTCCGGACAGTCTGTAAGCTAGATGTGTGCTTCCATCTTACACAGTGTTAATATGAAATCCTGGTTTTCGACGCATCCAAAGTATATTCGCCTCCGACGTTCGGGTAGTACTGAGCTGGTGTCCGTACTCCCCTTAGTCTCATCACCGGTATTGGCCGTGTGATGAAATCCCTGCGCCATCAACGTACTTTTCTTTTCGTTATCCTCGCGTAGAAGTTCATTAAAAAAGGGGCCATGTGTCGAGCGTACAGGCGTTCTTTCGCAAGATTTCAGCATTTTTTTCTCAGCTTCGTGTCTCTCTCCTTATTTGTGACGGTGTTACTTTTCCAGTGCATGTGCATATTTTATTGATATAATTTTTTTGTTTCAAGTAGTACCTGATCCTGCAGAATGCCTCTCTCTCTCTCTCTTACTCTCTCTCTCTCTCTCTGTCTCTCTCTCTCCTCTTTCTCTCTCTCTCTCTCTCTCTCTCTCTCTCTCTCTCTCTCTCTCTCTCTCTTTCTCACTCTCTCTCTCTCTCTCTCTCTCTCTCTCTCTCTCTCTCTCTCTCTCTCTCTCTCTCTCTCTCTCTCTCTCTCTCTCTCTCTCTCTCTCTCTCTCTCTCTCTCTCTCTCTCTCTCTCTCTCTCTCTCTCTCTCTCTTTCTCTGCACACACACACACACACACACACATACATACACACATACACACTTGTACTTGTTGCTCACTGCCAAAACTGGTCACGTGGGTCTCCCCGGGAGAGGGGAGAGAGACTCAAAAGGAATCTTGGAAAGATGACTCAACTGGCTATTGAACCGCCCAACGGCCGACACCCCCTGAAATCCCCAAATCTCTGGGTGGACTTGAAAATGATCCCACTTATGGGCTCACCACACCTCAGTAAGTGGGTGAGGACAAGGTGCAGAAAAAGGATTGACGGCATCAGGGTATCCGTCCTGGGATCCAACTGCAGTTACCCCTGCCCCCAGTGAAGGTAATACTTGCTACTATTGTGGGTGGCTAAATCAGAGTGGATCTGATCTAAGCGTCACTAGCATCATTGATTACACAAGAGTTAATCTAGCCAGAAGCAGTCCATGGTTAACAGGTATGTATACTTCAAATAGAAAGTAACCTGAAACCAACAAAGGTGGCAGATACAACAATACACCTTCAAGCAGTCGAGCCTGTTGGCAACAGACCCAACACAATCAGGCGTAAGTGTACCCACCAACCGGACTAGCTGGCACCATACACACACACACACACACACACACACACACACACACACACACACACACACACACACACACACACACACACACACACACACACACAAACACACACAAACACACACAAACAAACACACATACACACACACACACACATACACACACACACACGCACATTCACTCTCGATTCGTGAGATTTTTCCCTGATAATAATTATTGTCTTTCCCTTTCTTCTGCTGTGTTGTGTTGCGTTTGCAGACTATCACAATTCTGCTGTGCTATATTCGTTTTCTTCTCCGGACTTTGCTGGAGAATGTTCAAGTGCACACGCACACACGCATAGCTGACTGTCTGGATGGCATTAGATCCTAGACCTTTCGTGATCTGCTAGTCGGTCGATATGCCGTTATTCCCACGCTGTCACCGCCTTGCCCGGATGTGATTTCTTCGGTGATAGTTTTCAGTATACGTAGAAACGGCACCACTCTCGAGGATTCTATCTGACTCCGAATGAACAGTGTTGACAATAAACACATCTTGCTATGGATATCGTCAGGAGTCCATAAACCAGAGTGTGCAACTGTGCATATCAGATCTGAAACAGCGCAGCTCGTACACCACGTCACCCTGATGAGGTCAGCCAAGCCGCGACTTGCGTACAGCCCAAATTTTCGTGTTTCACAGTCCGGAAATCAGCCGAGTGTATATGATTTCAGACGTCCTGGTTTAGGATTTCGGTGCTTTTGTGTGACTGTGTGCGCTGCATACATCCGCTGGCAAGTAAAGTCACCAGGCTATCCGTATCAGAAACCGAAATCGATACAAACAAAGTGACCTGCACCACCACGACTGGTTACGCAACTTTTCACCGTACCTGTGGCTTACCATGCCGTCAGAAATGACGTACTGCACGGATTACGCTCCGACAGGAACCATCCCGAGTTGCACACTCTGGTTTATGTACTCTTGATATCGATTTTGTGCGGTTGTCATCGTCTTCAGTGAGTGTAGCAGCTTGTGTGTGTGTCTGTGCTAGGCTCTCATACGTATACATTGGTTGCACCTTGGTATCGCGGCAATTGGTTATTTTGTACAGGGCCAGCATAGGTGGTAACAAGAGTACCACACGTGTGCAACTCCAGCTGTGGGGTTTGCGGTGGCAGAACTTCACAACACAAGTCAGCATTGCATCATAAAAATGGCGTCCAGTTGAAATTCTGTTAAGACAGCAGAGTATGCTCGAGTTACACACTCTTGGAGGGGGGGGAGGGGGTATGTGCTCTTGGTTCAACTCTCTTGTGGTCACGTTGCACTGTTTGTCAGGGCAACCTATAAGCCCAATGTGCAATGACATAATTTGTACCACAAACACCCCACCGAGCCACCTTGGCATGGCCGTTTGGGGTGTTGAACAGTGCATCCTGATCTCAGCCTGCTCACATGCATTACTCATACCTCCCATATTTGGCCATGCGCAATGGGACCCATGTCACGTGACGTGAAGTTCGTTGGTACATGGTAAGCACACCCTACATTCATCACGAGTGACAGCATCATTGTACTGCAGTAGTAGTAGAATCTCAAGTTTCTTTCCATGTACTGGGTATGTTCAACTAGTGGTATCACGCTGCCTGTAGGCTAGCAGATGATCATAATATAGAAATAGATATTGGAAGCTTGCTATCTGTGAATAGCAAGGCGATGGCAGCGTACTTGCATGGGGTGGGGCGGTTGCAACCGTTTGAACAGTGCATACTAGCGTGCGACGTGAGCCTCGTATCACGGCCATACCGGACAGCATCGCGCAAATTGTTCAGCTGCAGGAAGATGGGTATTGTTATGCAAGACGCTCACTTGGTGCTTTGTAATAACTGCTCTGGTGTGGCTATGGTTACGATGTCCATTCAAACTAGCATGGCATGTCCGGTCTATTGGTAATCGCTAATTGGTCGTGATAAAATTAACATCAACTTAGAAGAGGAATGGTCAATGCGGCGCAGTCTGCAGTTGCTGTATAATAAAACTGTTCTGGTTCGTATGTACATTGTTCATGTTGGCTGCATGGCGGGGGGGGGGGGGGGGGGCAGTTATGATAAGGAGATCGATCGATGGGGGGAAATATAGGCCTGGAAAAATATATCTTCAGATCATTAGGTCTCAATAGAGGGTTTGCGCATGGGGCAGTCCTTACTCTGAACTACTGGACAACACGGAGCACACACACACACACACACACACACACACACACACACACACACACACACACACACACACACACACATACACGCACAGAGGAAGCGGCTGCTGTAATCGCGCACAGACCTCGCCGCGCATACATAACGACATTCTCACGATAAGCTCTGTCCCCCAGATAGCTGTGGTCCATTGTGTCGGATCAGCGAGGGAATGAAGTCACTCATGGCGGTGCAGCTGCGACCGAGTGAGCGCCTGAAGATGTCGTCCAGGCGCTGGAAACGCAACGAACCGGCACGGTTGTCCCTGTAATTGAGCCAGCCGCAGAGCGTGTGAAAGACACACAAGTTGATCCGCAGCGCCCGGCCGCCGTGATGGCTGCGTACCGTGGGTGCGGCCGTGCCGTGCGTGTGTATCGCGTAGATGACCCGATCGGATTGTTTCCGTGCCTCGAGGTGATTTCCCTCGGGCTGGGCGAGACGCTGTGCGTTGAGCAGCGGTGCTCCGCTCATTCCGGGTCGGGCCGAGCAGTTGTGCCCCGTTATGGAGAAGTGCCCCTTGCCGTGGCCGGGCGAGGGCCGTTCGGTTGTGGGCAGGAACGTGCAGTTATCGTTGCGCCACAGCGAGAACCGATCGAAGCCGACCAGCTCCAGCTTCTGCGTCACTGGACTCTGCTCGGCACCGAAGGCTAGCCAGTTGCCAACCTCCTCGTTCAGAACAATGAGACCTGGATGAGCAGCACAGAAGCATGGAAACAGGTGCAAGTGAGTGATGCGGAAATAGTAGGGACATGTGTATTCAATTTAATGTGTAGTACCCTGGCGACATGACGTCTTCATAATGGATGTTCTGACCTTGTACATGTATTACACTGAGTAGCGTGTCTGACTCTGCTGTACTATGACTCGGGGTGACGGTATTCCAAGAAGGTTTGAGAGAGCCCCGGTGCGTGGGTGGGTACATACGTGTGTGTGTGCATGTGTCTTTGTGGGGGTGGGGGGGGGGGGCAATGTTGATAGTTTTGCATCAAATCCTGCATCAATATAGCTGTTGATTCGAAAACTAGGATGCATATCTGAGTACATGTACATATTGTTGGGCATTTCAATATCCACGCAACCTCCCTGGGAGGTGTACTGTATATGAGTATTGCCATCTAATAGTGACTGGCAGTGATAAAGCGGTAAAGGTGCATTCCCCGACAGACTCGTTTCTTACCGTAATCATATTCCTTGAGTCCAAGCACCTTGTACGCGTACGGCACAGTTATCTGCGAGCAATTCAAGAACCGAACAGGAAACAGAAAGGGTACCACCGTTAGGCTGATCCAAGTGAACCCCGGCATTATACCTCTCTTCATTATGTTGCGAGGCACAACATGCAGGTGACTCTGAGCAGTGTGACGCAGGGAGCCCTACACACACCGTATTTGTAGGGCTCCCTGCGTCGCATTGCGATCTAAGAGTCGGGGATGAGCTCATTCACCATCATTACCTATTCTCTGCATCCTCACTGCAGGCTCAAATCGGGGGAGGGGAGGGATTTGTAACTATTTTTATATTTATTACAACATCTCAAGACTCGGTGGAAACACCGGCCAATGTTAAGAGAGTGGGTGATTGCCAACCACGGCATATGGTAGCACAGATTCGTTTGCGCCTCCTTTCACTCGTACTATTGGCTCACCATCCGTTTCTGACTTGCAACCTATGTATACTTCGAAGTATTTGTCATAAACATCCATATCACAATTGTCATGTCTACAGTGGTTGGGTTCCATATACATGTGCGTCACTGCCTGGGGGGAATTGCTAGTGCAGACAAGATTGCTGCATTCGGAAAGCATCCGGCACACTCTTTTAATACGTACCCTCTGCCAACCGATTGGTTCTTGGTCGTACGAGCTGGTGGAGTTGGTCAGAGTCGGATAGAAACTGATCTGCTCGTGCCACGTGCGTGTTTCCCTGTCGAACAGGCAGTGTGCTGCCGTCAGTACGTGCCGCGGGCCGATCATTGAACCAGTGCACGCGCCCTGAACCGGCTCACTGTGAGCGTGGGCAATGGCGGTGAGGAAGCACACAAACAAACAAACAAACAGATCAGTATTGGTCTGTGTAACACTTGTCGAGTATGTGGCAGAGGGTGTGTGTGTGGGGGGGGGGGGGGTGGTAGAATCATCCTACAATTGAAACGATAACCGATGTGTTCCGACTGAGTTTTGCGTGGCGTTGATTACAGTATTGATGCAGGTGAAACTGCTCACTAATGAGTCACCGTGTAGATCAGATCCAAGTGCAACTGGCCAAAGTTAGAGCAGAAGCAAAAAATCCATATAATTATTTCCTTTAGGCCCGGTGAAATTGTACCTCAAGTGTGGTCTCAATCATTAGTTGTCACTGCTCTCCCCCTGCTTATTCCCCTTCGTAAATCATTGGCAGGGCTGGGTTTGAGGTAAACAAACACTTGGAGTTGTGCTTTGGTCATCACTTAGCTAGCGTTAGGACTGCATTTGTGTGCTCGTTTGCAACTCCCATTGTGCCGACAATATACTGTAGCTGAAGATCTGAGTTTAATCGTCTCAGGCTACTTACTCGAGAAACAGCGGGTAGTGGTTGTAGACGATTCTGCCGATTGCCGACCATGGCCAATCGCGCCTCTCCTTTCCCTGTACTCGCGCCCATTCGTCACCCTGGCCGTTACCGTTCTGCTGCTGTATGCCGTGGCGGGACACAGACTCTTGATTCTGCTGCTGGGACATGAGCGGTGATAGGCTGTAACCGTCGTCGGTGAAGTTCGGACGGTTGGCGTCGGGCAAACCCTCTGGATCGTTCTCGTGCACTACACGCGGCGCATTCTCCGGCTTGTAACCACCCGTGCGGATGCTGTAGTGCAGTCTGTGCCAGGGAAAGCGGTTGCGCGCGATGCGCTTCTCCCAGACGGACTTCTTGCCCTTGCGTCGCTTCAGGCTGTCTCGGCCGTGAACGGTGTCGTCTCCGTCATTGGCAGAGGCCACGTCGTCCACGAACATCTCCTCGAGGTACTGCGCCGGGCACCATGCTTGCAGGCGATTACCTGTACACGTTGTATATACACACACACGCACACACACACACACACACACACACACAGAACCATAGGGGTGGTTTAATAATTTGCATGCCTACAAGACAAAATTGTAGTGCATAGTGTGAGGCAAGGAAACGCGGCAGCAGACAAACCAGTACAGTACGAGCATTGTTTCATAATTGGAGTCACTAAACTACACTTCGAAATGGTGCAGAGCAGTCCTGCTCATTTCAGATCACTCTGCACTTCCTTTCTCTTTTTTTACTTCTAACACAGCCCTACTGGAAAAAAGAACTTATTGAACTGTGCAAGTCATGTGGCTCTGTTCTGGTGACCCCATTCAGACATGTACAGCCTACAGCAGCTCTGTGTAAAAGTAATTATCATGCGGCGCTGCTGTATGATGATTATCCCATGGAGAATGCCCGTAAAAGGTCTTGTGTCGGCTCCTAGATCTAGTGACTGTGCCTTCAAGCATTGTTACATGGCAAAACATTGTCATAACAATGTCATCTAGATTTAGTTTCAATTTTTAGTCAATGAGGCATCATTTCAGATCGACCTAGTCAACGCAGCACGGCTTTGGTCAGCCTCTCATTGTACACCTCTCCTGAAAGCTTTGATCAAACCAGTCAAACACGACGTAGACAGACAATACGGGGACGTCACAATACCAAGACAGACAATACTGAGACAGACAATACGGAGATTAGCAATAATAAAGACAGTGACATGTTCGTAAACAGCCACCGGTCATCACTGATTGAGCCCCGACGGTTTCCTCTTTTCTTCACATGGCCAGAAAAGTACAAGCAAGTAGTAAGGCGAAGTGAACTGATGAAGAGTGAACTATAGTCTAGATAGGTTTGATGGTATGAACGAACTTCGTGCGCGGCCGAAAAAGATCGCCATACAGCGTTTTCTGACTAGCGACCACTTGAAAACTCAGTTTCAGTTGGTGTGAGTGCTATCAAGTGTGGTGATGGGCGAGTGCGTGCCACACTTCATCACCGGCACAACAAACAGTGTAAAGTACCCGCAAGTACATGTTTTTACCCTGCAGTGGTCTGGAGTGGACCCGGGTGCTTATAGACGACATGATCTATAGTATAGTGCTGCTAAATTGTTCGCAGGCCTAGGGGCTGGCTACACAGCACTCGGCTTTATTGTGTGGACTCGTGTTGCAAGTACATGTATGAAATCAGAGTCCCGGGAAAGCACAAACCTGGAACTTTACCCGGTAAACGGAGTGTGACGGTCATCAATACCAGTTGTAATAATCTGCCTGTAATCTAATGTAGGCAGCAGTGACTCAGTAGCAGTACTAGACTCGTCCCATCGCGCCAGAGTTCTGCCGTCGGAATGCGGAACTGTGCGCAAAGCAAGGGGGAGGGACTACTACACGCACGCCCAAATATGGCAACACGTGTCCAGGCATTCCGCATCCATGAAGAGTAGCAATTAGCACCACCCGCTGCATGGGGTGTTGATTAATTGCCTAGCTGGATTGCTGATTGGAAACAAGTATTAGATGCTGATTTGTTGAAGATCTACACGCAGCGAGCCACATACATGAACATTTAATGCACTTCTTGTAGCGCTATTCCATCGCTGCAAAGGTATCTTCTGCCTCCCCACTGGGCGGTATACTGTAATCGGGCACATCTCCGCACAGTGCATATTCGTGTACATATCGATAGTCCTACAGCTAGCTATGCAGCGTAGTCCTTGTAGGCACTCTCCCTCATCTAATTAGGAGATTCCGCTTGGATACTGAGACTACACTTCACAATACAGCATTCAGAAAATTTTAGATAATCTTCAGGTGTGATTGCTACTGGTGAGTGTCTGCTTCGTGCTTGGATTTGAACTAGATCTAGAATTAATAGTTCAGACTACAGGCACTACTAGTACTACTAGTACTCACTACTACTAGGTGTGAACGTCTGTTCTCTGCTTGACTCCAAATCTCCCGAACAGTGCATGACACGAAACCATCGGGGGAAATTTTTCTTCCCCGGCGAGTGCACGACGGCTGGCAAAGAGTCGATTGTTCGTCAGGGCTTTTAATCGAATTCGTGTCACCCGTCCTTGAGCCATGTCCTGTAACGTCACACACTCCATCCGTGACTCGTTTTCAATCCGCTCTGAATAGACCTATGGCGTTCATGCTGCGTGCTCCGTAGCTCCTGCGCCTGCCATCCTCATGAACAGATGGTACTGTCCGGCAGTACATTCCTGGCTCACGCCGAATGGTATAATAGTGGCCAATTATGTTACATGACCGCGTCAAGGCAGAATTGCTTCGCCCAAATTTGGTCCTCGTAGCACCAATTCGGGGGGGGGGGGGATTTACGCTCCGACGCCACGCTGTGGCATGATAGGGGAGCATGTAACACTACAGCTACATGTATACTATACTATACTATAGATAATTCTGTTTGCTAGCTAATTCTAACTCTGGTGCAATGCTATGACTGCACACCCAAAGAGGAGGTGATAAGTGCGCTTCCGATATGTTGTAATCCGGCGACCGGGAGCTTAGAGTGACTGCTCTGGCAAGGCACAATATTTCAGTGCAGCTGGTATTGCAATGTTTCCAGAAAATGGCTCTCTGGAATTCGGAACCGCGTGGATACCCTTGCTAGCATGCACTCACGGAGTACCGTACCTATTGCTGTTAGCCTAGACTGGAAACTATGATAACTGCATGCTAGTATACGATATAGGTCACATTACCGTTATCCGGATGAAGTTGTGCATCCGAAACACACTCACATACTAGCACAACGTTACGTATTAATACTATGTAGGAGCACTTGCCTTGGGCTAGATTATTTCAACCCTGTTGGGTCATTTCCCCAACACAATGATTGTGTCACGTGGTGCAACAACATACCAATCTTCGTTACAACCACAGAAGGCAATGTTTGGAGTTTGGGACGTACATGACATAAATTTAGCTCCGACACACACACACTCACACACAGGTACAGGCAGCTGTGACTCACGATATGAGTCAGTCTGAGAGGTTGGGTAGAAGGCGTGTTGGAGCAAGGCACTGACAGGTGTCTACTCCGAACACCGGGCAGGTGCTACTGTTTGGTATGTCTCAACAGTCGAGTAATATTCATATTCCTCATGACACTGAGTTCTGTTTATTCTTGGCAACACACCAGACCACACACCTTCTCAATCACACATCCGGCATGCGCCCTGCATCGACGTTTTGATCAACATGACGTCATGGCCTACACATAGGCGCTAATAGCGGGTGTTTGTTTCGAAGTTTCGATCATCATGATGTCATGCATACATTTTGTACATGTACGTCCATCTGGGTCGTTATCGGGGTTCTGTCTCAGGGAAGGCTCTGCGTTCGTAAATCTACGGGCCGCTCTTATTTTGTCAGGATCCTATCGACTATCGTAACCCTTTTTTCTCCCATCTTCGGTCAGCATGACTACTACTGTACTGTGTTCACTTAGTCTTTGGGTTAAGACATGGGGAAGTTGCCATACTGGGGTGTGAGCCCTCCTCTCGGTACCGGGGAGTACAGCTCTCAGCTCCACTCATTTCTACTGAGTGAATAGGACTAACACCTGGGTCCGGTGAGCTATGGTAAGCTCGTAACCCATCAGCAGCAGTGCGTGCGGAATCCTATCCGCTCTGTCCGAGCAACGAAGTGGACCGTGGCTTGGTGGACTAGTCCGGTCCAACGCCATCTTGTGGCAGGTCTGTGCAACCACCTGGGCAATTCGGGCTCAATGCTATTTTCATATCATAGCCTAGGAGCTGTGGCATCATTCATGATCCACAGCAAGAAGGCAGCAATGCCTGTGTGTCCAGCACTGCAATGGGACCTACATTAATACAGTAATATAGACCTACAGTGATACATACGTCACCCGTAGCGCTCTGTGTTACATGTACATGTTTGGTCGTACATGTACATGTTACACCGTGTGACTTACAAGTCTTTGTCCGAGATTGTTAGGTGTAACGCTGCAGACTTAGACTTAGTTAGCGCTGGGGATTCCGTCACCCCAGGCTTGAGGACATGCATAAGCAGCTCGCTTCGCGTCCTCTCCAGAGGCCCCTAGAGAACAATCACCTGTGAAGAGGGTCTCACGAGCAGATGCCCTGTCTGGGCCTGGCTGGCCACCCAACAACAGCACGAACAATACGACATAGAATCCGCTACAGTACACGTGTAGGCTCCAAACTGAAGTCAGTGCTGAACGTTTTAGAATAGAGTATTACGTCGTGCAGGGCTGGGATTTGTTTAGCTTCCTGGGCAAACATAATGTATATTACTAGCGAGTGTGACAATGCCGATATTTGGTTCGCTCTGATTTCGGCGTCGGCGGACATTCAGCGTGGACGGACTGGACGCAGCGACCATGTCAAGCAAATCAACTAGGGCAGTAAGGGTGTGTCGAGGAGGAATGACTACACTCGCTTATACCACTGGCCCGAGACTCTCTGCCGAATCTCCGGAACTGCGAAGTGCAAGCAAAAATAGGTTTTCCGTCACGTCACAACTTGCCTCACTGCCCTGGGCAGTAGCAGTGTGTATCAGAGTGTCTGCGCCGTATGGTCTACCCTAATAATGAGTGTTAATGCTGCATTCAAAATGGCCTCCGTGCTAGATCCAAATTTCTAGTATGGATACGTCATGATGGTCAGCTTAGGTTGACAAACATGTCCATGTCCTTGCCCAGTATTCTGAAGTAGTTGGAATCAGGGAGTAGTATAATATTGGTATTTTAATACTCCCGGGTTGAGTTAGAATACTGTCATAAACGCTTGATTGCATTTCCGGTCTCTCCCTTAGACCTGCGTGTGGGAGAACTGACTCTAGGCTGTTGAAGCGTTCGAGTATGCATCCGCAAAGTACTCGAGGTCTGCAGTGTCGAGATTCTAGTTGCTGCGTGGGATTCGGAGCAATTTCGGGCTAACCACAACTTTAACACAAGATACCGACATTGGCATATACGACTCTTTGAAACAGCACACCCATAACCTTCACCTGCCTTCCGGTTGTCCCGTGGAGAGGTAAAACACTTGTTCCGATGCTACCTTGATGGCAATTGTCCGTGCCCTGAATACCATTCGATCTACTTTTGTGGATCGTTCGCCGCCCGCAGGTGCTATACGCCGAGTCACAGCATTTCACATTCTGTCCATCCAGACACAAGGACATTATCCCTTACACGGCGCAGGGTCGAGTAGCAAGACATCGTATTGGAAACACGTGCTGAAGTAGGTGATGGTACCCTTGGGTGGTGCTGCTAGACTGGGCTTGACAGAAAGCTTGCTGGCCAGCTGCACGGGAGAGCGACGTAACACCACTAGCGGTATTACTACTTTACGATGTATTGGGAGTTGATAAGACGTAGTATTGCAACATACCCATATCAAGAAGGGACCTTGTACTTCAGTGTAAAGCAGGGCACGTGCCCCATTATGCAAAGCAGACATTGGGACTCTCGGCTCATGATGCTTTGTGGCCCCATATCTCTAATCCTTCCATCCTGAGTAGTCGAGGGTGTCCACTAAATGCCCGAATTCTTACCCTTACAACTTCCTCTGCAACCCATGTCCAATCAGTATAGGTGTTCAGACAAACAGGGGCCGATGGACAATGCTTCATTACCTGGTGCGAGCTTGTGTAATTTCCGGCTCAATGTTCCGACTACCCACTCGTCCTCTAGCTTCATAAACTACATCCTGTGTGGGATATCCTTCTCTCATCGTTCACTGACCCGTAGTGCATGCGCGTGTGTGTGTGTGTATGTGCGTGTGTGTATGTTTGTGATCACGCCGCGGTACACGCGGTGTATCACTTCCATTCCGCTTCAAGTTCCTTTGCTCGTTCCCAGAAACATGTTAAGCAGGTGTGAAGCTCCTTCGGGAAGCAATGACGATCGTCAGCGAAACTCACACCTAACTCGGAAAAGGAACGATGCCACCTGCTACGGCGGATACCGTAGAATCATCCTCTATTAGCGCAAACAATTAGACACACAAGCAGAGTCGTGAAGTTATCATGGTAAATTCTTCCCTAGCCCGACAGAACGCCGCCCAACATTCACCAGTGTCTTCTTTTCTTCGTTTCACTTACTAGAACGCGGTGGCTTATCAGCCTGGGCATCCACCTGCCCTGCCCTTACTAGCCATTGAAACATATCAAGAGAATGTTCCTAGACTCGATCGAGTTCCGTCTCCGCACAAACAAAACAACGCGCTGGGCTTTCTGCTGGCCGCCTAGGTGCGTTGTGGGCTGGACCTGTCATTCTCAACTTCAAGGCGAGACTGCTATCGCGCCGTGCTGTGAATGTTCTATCATTTTTAGTATCAGTGTCAATGTATGGGCTCGTCGCTCACTCAATGCAGGCCGCCCAGTCGGATAGCTACAGCGTCGCGCGGCCGTTTTTCGTCAAATTTGGCAATGGCATGTGTGTGCTAGCAGCATCACATGGGATTCATGTTATGTTATGTAGTTAGTAGTGAAGCCGGCGAGGACTATCGGCAACACACGAGAGCGCACACATCCAGTGCCACCAGTGTCAGCTCCTTGCTTGCATTCCTCGTGTCCCATGACTTCTACCCATTATCACCATCATCGACTGTACACACCTGTGACCTGCTTTTTATTTAAAAGTATTTTCTGCGTGGCTGTCGACACGCGCAGGGACTGGAAACAAAGGTGACTTGGATAGACACATACACACACACACCACCACGGCCATGCAATACCACGCTCTCAAATCAAGATGAATACAGGCGGAGAATTGACTTTGATTTGCCTGTGCAGCCTGTAACGACGAGTCCCAACCACTTCGCAATCAATGAGAAAACGGAGAAAATGATTACGGACAGTCCCAAATGACACCTATCCGGAGCAGGATAATAATTAACTTTGTTGCACGTCACGCAGAGATGGCTCTACAGGCGTTAAACACATAACAGTACTGTGTGACAGTGCAACAACAGTGACTCGTACATCATCACCTCACTTGCTCACGTAACGTTAATACTCAACCTGGACATGCCACTGACCCGTTGGACAAAATTAATTCCTCCCACAGTGTCTATATCCGTATTCAGCAGCATGTCTACGCGACACGACGCATCCTCACCCCGAGGAGTGCATGCATGTCCGTCGTGCCTATATTCGATTCGGGGCGGATTCGGGGGCGAACTTCATTCATTAGACACTGTGTCGCGCAACTCGCTGTGAACAGACTTCGCTGCCCTGTCGCCCACTGGCATTCTTGCCGTGTTGAATTCGTCCGAAAGAGAGGCAATTTCCGTGAAAAGATTGTCAGCCGAGCTTCGTTATGTGTCCCTCTGTTTGTCGTAAACGCTGTCGTGAGTTTTGTCCGTAACTCGTGTGTTTGAGTGCAGATGAGTGGCGTTAGGGATGGCGAGTTGACTCTAACACGGCTATGCAGCTCACTGTGGTTTCGCCTAATTAACAGCTTGGAGAGAAGACTTGCACTTCACCTGCTGGTCTTACCCGTGACCGCATCGTCTTTGTGCAAGCCTTCTGCTCGGCAGCCAATGAGACGGGTCTGCGTCCAGCCGTCGACAGTTAAAAGTGAGCAATGCACTCATTCCAACGCCATTCCGTTCTACACAGTGCAGCGAGTCTAGTCTATAACGATCGGGTCAGCCAAAGTAGCGGATGCACAGGCGCATGCAGTTACACATGTCAGTCACTGATTACTAATTATTTTAGTGGCGAGCGCTAAGTCGCAGGTCAGGTCCAATGTAAACAAATACTTCAGGATCAAATCAGACCTGTCCCGCTCCCATCTGCAGGCGTTCAATGGTATTACAGTTGTAAGCTAGCTATGTGTCTACTTCGCAGTAAATAGAGATTTAATAAATGCGAGCAATTATTTCTCGTGTCCGTGCAAGGGACTGCAGGTATAATGTAGGCACGTCAGAGTACAGCCTAGAACGCTGTAAACATAGTGAAACGTTCCCCTAAGCATCGGCCAAGCTCATGCTCTCATCTGCTCGCTCCCTGTCGACTCCTGACATACTGCTGTCGCTTCACCGCATATTGACACTAAACAGACCTGGCCACAGCGTGTCCTGGGACTCGCAGAGGCAAAAGAAAGGGATAGGCCTCTCGCCACTCCATGCCAAACCACACTGGAAATGCATGAGTAGAGTGTTGTTGCTACTATTGTATTTAGACTAAGAGTGTAGTACTAGTAGCATGCTTTGGCTAGCTTTAATCAACGCGTGAAATAGCACCCTGGACCTACGCGTGTTTGCGGAAAGGAATCTGGCAAAAAGGTGGCACAAACCTTGCGAGTTTTGCTGACGCCGACATGGGCTTATCTGGGCTTGCGGCCGCAGTTCTCATGAATACTAGTACTCTTCCTATTCAGACATTAATCGTGTTACTTGAATGCATTCCAGTAAATTGAAAAGTTACATAATACTGTCAGGGATCTGAAAAGCCATTCCACCTATTCCTCGGTCCGCAGACCATTGGAAATAGTTCAGGTTGCTAAAGACATAAACGTCTGGTTTGGATTTTTCCAGGCTACATTTACATGTATGTGGCATAACAGAATGCTCTTACCTGGCTGGGGGCAGATGTTCTCGAAATCCGGACAGCAGTTCTGCAGCCCAGTACAGGCCGGATGACACAGGCACTGTCCGTCGCCATCAGCAGGACCCCCGTCGCTTCGCTGAGCAACACAGCGGTCCAGCGACTCAGGATCCGTCGTCAGTAAGCAGCATCCGGGTCTCTCTCGGAACAGCTTTCTACAGCTACGGAATGTTTTTACGGGCGCATTCTCCGATGCTTCGACTAATCTCAGCAACAACACATTCACGGCGAGCACACCGAGAAGAATTACTTTTACTGAACCCATGTTTAGGACAGGAGAGGAGGCAATGATTCTGATTCTCTGTGGTTGATTGTACGTAACACTGAGAAAAACAGGGCGTTGACTAGGTTTGAAGCAGGCCCTCTCAGCCACTCTTTCTTCTCCCTCTCGTGTACTTGGACTCTCTGCTTGGGCACTGTGCGGGAAATGACTGCTCGTCAGCAGGTCTATCTCGTTCTGAGTGAGCCACTGAAGAGGCGCGTCTGTTTATATAATTGCTGCAGTGCAGGAGTGACTGACTGGCTGGTGGAGTAAGCGTTTTCAGTTTTCAGTTTGTATCGCCGCCGCTGCTGCTGCTGCTGCTTCAGTGATGTATACAAAGGTGCAGGCCAATGCTGGTCCCAGATCGCCTGATCAACCCGCTCGGCTCTCCCTCAATCTCTCTCTCTCCTCGTCACAGGCTTGAACAATAGACGGTGTATGAGCCAGCGTGTGTGACACTCTGGCCCTCGCGGCGCTCACAGTAGGGACCTGGTGGTGCCGCGTGTCGCGAAAGATTTTGCTGATACCGTTCCGTCCGCGGCTTGGCAGCGTCGGTGAATGACCACTTTTGGACTGGGCAGCTCGACACCTACTGGGACAGTGGGAGTATGCAGCAAGCAAGGCAGTTCCAGTGCTAGCTATCTGTACAGGAAAATAAGAGAACAGACAGCAGCATCAGCAGCAGCATCAGCAATACTAGTCTGCAATCGATCGGTCATCGTAATCCGGGTCTGCATCATCTCAGCAGCGTCATAGCCCATTCTGCCTATCAGACAGTACTCCACCATAGAGAGCAAGAGAGGGGGGGGGGGAGGAGGTAAAGAGACTTATAATATGACTTAGGTCAAGTTCTAGGAGTGCTGACTGAGGCATTGACACGGACAGATTATCTCATCATGGCGAGCTAAGTGAGTTCAGCACCATGGAGTATCATAGAGGGCTTCTGGACGGGCGCGAGGACGGATGGAGCTGATTTATTACGTATTGTGTTCAGAAATAGAGTCCGCTACCTCACAGAATTTTGCAACTCTCTGCAGCTGGTTTTTTGATTGAATGAAACACACAGCATGCGATCACACGAGATGCCCAGGACACGCAAGGGGTGAGACGCTGAGGGCCATGGAACGTTACGCAGCAGGGGACAAACAGGACGTGTACACGGGCGCACACTCGTAACACCCATCACGACCATTAACAATTCACACCCACAGAGATAAAGAAATGACTAGATGAGGTTGAACCACAGCATTGCGGGGTCACACACCTGCCACGAAGACCCAATCGCTCCTTCTTTGGAACTTTTCCTCAGCGGCTTGCATCGACTCTGTTCGCAGACGCCGGGAACCAAGGCCCTTTTTAAAACACTCCAGCGGGTTACAACATGTCAGCCTCTGTTTCTCATTGGCTTACCTTGGTATCGTAATGTTTGGTGCGATTTTCTAGTGCTCGCGCGGCCCTGCTACAAGCCTTGATCGGCTATCGAAAGCTATGATGTCCCTGAGCGGAGAGGTCAACGAGCGATCCTGTTCAATCCACCACTGTTCCAGTGCTAAGGACGTGAGTAAGGTATTAACTGAGTGTGACCAATCGGCTCTGCGCTCCCCTCGTCTTAGCCTCGCAAACGGGACAAGGCTCTAAGATTGTAGCTCACGAAATGTCAGAAAGCGGCTACACGAATCAAGCGCTAGAACTAGTAGAAGTCGATCGTGTTTGCCAACGAGTCCTATTAACCAGGGTTCTTTTTCTGGCACAGTGATTTAGACCAAGCCGGCACAGCGCTTCAGTGTAAATAGCAAATTGGAGGAATTCCTGCGCCGCTTGTTGAAACGGCCAGGAAGCGGGCTATTACTCGCTGTTCAGGGTGGAGATCTGGCTTCTTCACACCTTACGCTTATTGAACTGAATAGCCAGTGCAGCGACCTAGCACAGGATAAATACTCGAATTGGACGTGTTCGGGTCGTGATGGAATCGCCGGCATGGCTTCATTGTGAATTGTGTGTGCAGAATACCTCGAATAGCTGCCCCGAACGCCCTCGACTCGAGGCTGCAGGGTAGGCTAAGATACTGTGTCACTGAGCGGGTCCCAGGGAAAGAGCCATGCGCGAGGGTAGTGCAACGCGGCTGGAAGCTTGTCAAAATCAAAACATTGTGATCCTGAGTCCGAGTTGTGGCTGGGAAGGAGGTACAAGCGTGCCAGTGTAGTCGCTGTACTTTGGCATCCGTCAACGCGCTCGTCTGCCAGTCAAGGTACTTGGTAGCCAGTCGTCAGATTGCGTGCACTGTTGCAACGAACCATGCGGACTTCATGCATGACCTTCATTCACTTGTTGCTTTTCGCTGTTGTCGTCTAAAAGACTATCGCACTATAGACGTGTACGGAGAGCCCCTGCTGTGCAGAGACTGAGAGAGAGGGAGAGCTCCGTTCGGAGCATACTGTAACTATCCTAGTCCAACCCACCAGCTTCACAGCAGCGCAAGCTGAACTTAGCAAGTGCTTGACAGATCTTTGCAGCAGTGACAGGCGCGATGTGTCAGCGCCAAGTCTCTGACTGACGACAGATGACAGCACAACATTAGCAATCCGGTTCAGCGTCTCCCAGTCCCAGCACTCAACACTGGATGCGACCGCTGGCCACGAGGCAGCAACAACGCGAGTGTGATCCACTCTAGCACATCCCTGCAAGGGACAGTGTTTACTACGCACCCCTTGCATAGATGTTTTACACACTAAACGTCTAAATACTCAAGTCCGAATTGCACAAGCACAATGCGTGAACTGTCATCGGGTCTTCGTGAAACAGGCAGCATCGGACCCTGAAGTCAATGGCCCGATGCTCAAAGCTAAAAGCGTGCTTCATTTTTTGTTTTCGTCTTGTTTATCCGAGGAATGTGCTGAAAACATCAACGCCTCGCGCACATCACGTATGATCACATTGATGTCATGCCAAGCAAAATAGCATAACGTGCTCACTCGATCACAAGGTCGCCCATGATGACCTCGGACCATTCTGTAACTGCTTCTACTCTTGGCGTCCGCTCGCACGCACTCCGAGACAGAGGGTCGGAGAAGAATAAAATGCCTGCGTTCCTCCCGGAGTAGCAGTCCCAATGCTGGACTGCGCGCCCCTTGGGGAACCCGAACGTGATCTCTCGGCTCGCCCGCCTGTGCAGATTCTCCCGCTGCTCCCAGGCGATACGCCATTGCTAAAGATCTCTGGCACTCTTCGCTAGAGTTGAACCCAATTCCTTTGCGTTTTCTCCGCGGCTAGGCCTTGGGCTAGGGTAACAATCACAACATCTACATTGAACATGCACAGTGCTAGCAACTGAAATCCGACCCCTGAGCGGTGCGCTCACATCGCAAAGACCCAACACGGGACGGTAAAACTACGAAACAGAGACCGATAGAATGTGAACCCACCGCTCGGGGGGTCGGATTTAAGTTGCTAGCACTGTAGCTGTACATGTACATGTGCATGCATGTTGTAGCAGCACAATACAGTACTAGTTTGATAGAAATCTCTATACAAGAGAGATTGGAAGCTTTGTTACAACTCTCAGTTTCACGTATTACTACGATCGTCAGGCAACTGCATGATGGATCCAAAACGGCAGCCAGAACATACGGGGGGAGCAAGGTGGGAAATTCTGAGGGGTATCATGGGCGATGCGTATCATAGCGCAAGAGTCAGGTGCAATCTCTATACGAATCTTGCCTATGTGCTAGAGTGTTATTCTGATTTCCTTCAGCATCCAGCCACCTCGGGGGGTGAGGATTTGCCCGTTCGTCGTTCCCCGAAATGGGATCCGCCACACATACATGTATGGCCTAGTGTAAACACGACGTACAGCCATGTCATTGTTTCCCTTCCCACAAGATAAACACAGTTTTTCGACAGCTAATCGGAACGCTAAAACTGAGGCCTCTGGTCGACCGGTTGAGCTACTTCCAGTACATGGGTACGTCGTCCCTACACCCCATGGCCCAGGTGCCTTGTGTTATGAGGGATTATGTTGTTCTCCACTTGTTTATCAGTACGAGTAGAGCCGTGTTCATAGTAAACCTTGAATCGCCTGCTGGGGATAATTATAGTACTACGTACGGGTGCCCGGCAAGACACCCGCCCAATGGGCGTTGGAACATGTCATTTCTAAAATACTACAAGTTCAGAATGGACTCCGCCAGATACAAAGTTAGCTCAAATGGGACGAGTATTACATTTTGTTCGCTCTCCTCAAACTCGCACCTTGTCAGATCACAATGAACGGGCCAAGTGAAGATTGCATCGCCGCAGAACTACAGAATCATAGTACTGCCCACTTTTCTGCAGCGATCGCACCGCTATCGCATCTAACGCGCTGACCTAAAACTCTCAAGGCGATCTCCCTCACCACAGACCCTGCTTCAGGGGCAACATCCAGCAGCCATGTTTTGAATTTCGTCCCTGGTCGTTTTGCCTAATGTTGTCTCTGGGAAGGGTACGTTTCGGCACGGTTAATCTCTATCACAACCGTTCCTATCATGCAGAGCGTGTTCAGGCTGGGACTCCCGCAGATCGTTTCATCACGTGTCATTGGCAACCAACATGCAATTGCTTTAATCTTATCAACGGGAAATGCTGTCACACAGTTTGACGGAAAATGTATCGGAAAAATACTGGACCAATTCATGAAACCAATAATATCACTATGCAGCTGCAAGGAAGGCACTATGATAAGCCACGATAGAGTGTGTGTACTGGACTTACTTTGTAGTGCAATGCAGATTACGACCACCGGGCTGGCGCTGATAGTCCACTGCCTATTTTCTTCTTGAACCTGTTTGCTCTTTGTCTTGTTCCACTGCCTTGCAGCGAGCAGCACCAGTCGCTATTTCCGACCCAATTTCATCAAAGTCCTGGAAATCAGTGCAGGGACTTGATAAGAGAAGACGTGAACAGTGCATTATGTACTCTTGTTGGTATGCAATCAGCCGGCCAGCGGGCGTAGTTCTGTGTATGAATATTAGGGGTGGTCATTGGCTACAGTCTGGGATGCATGTCGCGATCACCCGGCGTACATATACATGGACATGATCGTATACTGTGGTACTATCTCACTCCAGAAAGCACCTTACTGGCTGATGATGCATGGCTAGTGCCACAGTCAGACGTAGATTTTCAGCAACACAAGTAATTCCACCTGCTTTGTGTTAGCTAACAATTAACGTTAGTGCTTGTACAATGAGGGCAAGATCACAGGGTTACAAGTAATTAATTTGTTTTGACTTTGCCAATTGTGCATTGGCAGCCTGAGACCTGGTGAAGTTCACTAATTTTGGTCTTGGGGCTCTTGGCTGAGCAGGTGCGTGACAAATCCAGACAGGTGTCCAGAGCTCACACACTGTACATTTACTGTACTTACTTGAAACTGAACTGAATACGTGAATTGCCTCCACAGGAAAGAGAAGGCATCCACACGGGAACTGAGTACTACGAGGAATGATAATTATTGTACTTCTACGTAGCTTGAAGTAAAAGTATGACTGCTCGACGGCCAGTACCTTGAGCTCCGCTCTTGAGACCCAACAAGTTCGAAGCAGTTACAGCTGTCCGGGGGATTGAGTATGATCGTGATGACACTACGATCATATTTTTACTACTGGTCGTGTATTGATGTAAAGGTCATGTTGCAGCCATTTTCAAGACTGTCTGGATGATATACAGTCATGTGCAGTAGCTGCTTTCAATGGGTTAGTATTCGATGATAGTACATACCCCACTAGTACTAGTGCGTCGCTCTGGTAGATTCCATTCGGTTCCAATATTTTGGTCTGGTCCCAAGAGGGTAGAGCGGGTTACATTGCCTGCAGCAAAACCTACAGTCCGTGTAGGTGCATTCGTCGGAATGGTGCTGGAATGGATGTAGACCGTTTGCAGCGGATCAGTCACATCCACCCCACAGCACACAAATACCAGTGCCATGATTACATGTACGTGCGCATGAGCAACAACAGTCCTTGCTACGTAATACAACGTAACGTTATGCAATAGTGTATCACAGCCGTAGTGCATGCATTCCATATTACATACAAATTCGGATCGCGCAACTATCCCTGGTAGAGATTTCGAGAAAGAAGTTCGTCCCACCTCGCGAGGCTTCCCACCATGATAGTACCACACGTGGACGCACAATAACAACAACACGCAACAAACGTACATGGACATTGGGTGAAACAGACTGTAGTCATACATTTTAAAAAACTGTTCGAATGTTCGACCCCATATTGCGAATGTTGTGACCCAGGCCACTTCAAAAGCGAAGTGAAATGGCGTGAAAGATAAGTATTCGAGAGGTCTCCAGCCGCTGTCTGGCCAGTTCCACCCGCTTCACAACTTCTCCTGTTTTCCTTTTTGTATTTTCCTTATCCCGAGGTGAGACGTGATGAAGACACACTCAAAACGTGTCACCTCTCTTGCCTCCCGGGGTGACACCATTGAGCATATCGCGCAAGTCTTCGTTCACTGTGCTCAGTGAGCACTGCTGGCGAGGTGGAGGAGCTGCTGACATCTCGCCATGTTTTCCTACTAGCCTTCAACACGTGGCGTAAAATGTTATCACGCTGCCTCTCCCCAGCATTGTTCTCGCTGAGATGAGTCAAGCATCGGCGGTCAGTGATCAATCTCAAGAACTCGATGCCAGTGAGAGGAGCGTGTAACTTCTAATGCCAAATATCTACTTTTATCGGATTGAAAGGAACCTTTACGGGGAAGCTAACGCGTTACCACTCTCGTGACGATGTGATTTTCGCCACTTTATCGCAAGCCTTTCCACTTCGAACCGCTTATCGAGTAGACACTTTTCAAGAGCAATCGGTTGGAAAACGTTCGGGCTAACTAGGCTGGGCCTTTTCAACAAGAAGGCTGATCTCTGTCTTCCCAAACACGACCATACGGGTATAGCCGACGCTTGATATTCTCTCAACCGTGAAGCAAGGAATGGACGACCACAAAAGGCAAATAACGGCGAAAATCGTGGGTGCCACTCTCTATGGTCCAACGCCAAAATCAGCGATTTACCGATTCTCTAATCGAGCCAT